AAATCGGTATTGTTTAACTTAAGATGTTCTTTGATACAATCACAATAAAGTAACAATGATTTCAAATGCTACTGAAGAAGCTTAACGTACGGGACTCTATTTTTAATTGATTGACTATATGGTTAACAATTGGAGTTAGATTTTCTGGTAATCTTTTATTGATTTTCTTTTTAGCTTTAAACTTTAGTATAAAATAAAGTTCGCTTCCCGCCGTCTGTCTATCTGTATGAATTTATGCACGCTTAGATCTTTTAAACTTCGCAACTGTTGTGCCCTATCTCTCACATACTTATAAACACATTCATAGGGTTTTCTAAAATTTATAATTTTTTTGCCCCAGATTAAAAGTATTATCATGGCGCAGAGTTCAATCAAAGAAGCCATCAACAAGTGGATCAAAGATAATCCGGAGCTATTTTAAGACCATGCAAGTGGATTAATTTACTGCTCTAAATGCGAAGCACATTTGAATGCAACTCGTCAGAGTGACGTCCAAAGACATGAAGAAGGAGCAGTACATAAAGGCACGAAGAACGAGCGCCATACTCCTTTAGAATTTTACTTCGACTTAATCGAATTTATGATTCTTTGTAACATACCATGGTCCCAACTGAGCAAAAGTAAATGTGTTGCAATTGCAAAAATATTGAACTACCTAGTGAATCCTTATTGAAAAAAGTTTACCTGGATCAGCTTTTTAAAATCAAAGCACAAGAGATGCAAAGTAAGATTGAAGATAAAAAGCTATGGCTTTCAGTAGACGAAACTATGGATTTCTTAGGAAGAGCTGTCGTACATTTGTTGGTGAGACCATTACAACCTAGTAGGTGCCATCAGCCTTACTTAGTGGCATGTAAAATGCTATATACTGTACATGGAACAACGATATCACAATTTGTTCAAGATTCTTTAAACAATATGTGGGGAAGTTCATTTGAGAGCAAACTAGATAACGTTAGAATGTTATGTACAGACAGTGTGGCATACATGATATCAGCTGGTAGAATTTTAAAATCAACTTTTCCAAAAATAAAATAGAATTAAAATCTTTAAAAAAATGTGTCCGGATTTACCTTTACCTCCTGCACCTGTAATTACCAGATGGGGTACTTGGCTTGATGCAGCATTCTATTACGCTAAGCATTTCGATGAAATTATATCTCTATTGTCTGTGCTGAACAGTCAAGAGGCAAAATCAATAGAGAATGCTTTAAATTTTTTTAATAATAATGACAACATTAAGGATGATTTGTCTCGTATTTACGAAAATTTTTCAATTATACCAACAGCTTTGACATCACTACAGAAACCCGATCTTTCTCTAATGGAATCATTTGAAATATTTGATACAGTGAGATTAGCTTTGAGATGGGCAAATTGTGAGAGCTTAGAAGATAAAATTGAAAAAGTTATGGATAGAAATCCTGATTTGGACACTATCAGAAATATAGCAGAAAAAAATTCTTCCTGCACTAATGACGAGGAGGAGGAAGTGTATAAATTTGCTAACCTCACCTCAGTTGACGTAGAGCGATCTTTTTCAATGTACAAATGGATTTTAAATGTTCGGAGAAATTCATTGAAGCCAAAAAATTTTGAAAAGCTTATGATTATATATTTTAATTCTCACAAAAGTTATTATTAATTATTAATATATAATTAATTAAAAATATTATTAATAAATATTGTATTATTAATATTAACAGTAATGTCGGAAGCGAACACTTCAAATCTTACTGGTAATCAATCGGACAAGGAAAATGATTCTGATTGGCCGTTTGAATAGGCAAAACCTCATGAGTCTAGGCTAGAAGCAAAAGTATTCGGTCGTATTTATAAAAAAGGCGAAATATGCGTATGAGAATTTACTTAAAACTATCAATAATTTGTATTGTAAATTAATGTAAACTAATAAATTTTTTATGTTAATTATCTTTGTTTTATTTGTCTATCTCTGACGTTGTTATTATTATTTAGTTGTAAGATTGTTGGCCACACGGGATTGTCCATTAGAAATCCCGGGAAGGTCCACATTAATATCAACATTTCGATGCAAGTACATAAATAACTCTACCTAATTCCGACCTCTGGTCATAAGTATATCGATCTCGGGCAACTGATATTGAATGAAAATATTGTGTATACTTAAAACAAATTGATGTTAATAAGAGCGCCGCATCTGATGGAATACACCCATATTTCATATCAAGTTGTGCAAAGCAATTATGTAAACCTCTTTTCATAATCTTTCAAACATCTCTGCGTTAAGGTGATTTTCCGAATACGTGGAAAAAAGTTCTTATAACACCTATACCTAAAAACAAAGATAAAGGTAATATAACACAATACCGTCCTATTTAGAAGTTATGTGTTTTCGGCAAACTATTGGAAAAAAAGGGACTATCTAGTTCCATACAACATTTAATTTCTGAAAATCAACATGGGTTCATAAAATCACGCAGCGTTAATACAAAAATGTGGCTTTTACAGATTTTGTTCTCAACGCAATGAATGAAAACAGACTAGTGGACACTGTGTATACCGATTTCTCCAAAGCATTTGATAAAATTAATCATAACCTATTAATACAGAAACTTTGGAGATTAGGTATACATGGAAATTTACTCAGATGGTTTGATTCTTATATAAAAAATCGTTGCCAGGCTGTTAGTCTGGAGGGCTATTGTTCAACTTATTTACCTATACCATCTGGAGTTCCTCAGGGCTCTCATCTTGGTCCAGTACTATTTTCCTTATATATTAACGATATTAATGATTCGTTGAGCAATAGCAGTTATCTGCAATGTGCAGACCACACAAAATTTTTTAGATGACTGTTATAGTTTACAATCCAGCTTGGATTCGTTGTCTTTGTATGCGCTGAAAATCAATTATTTCTAAACACTGATAAATGTCGTATTGTATCATATACGAGTAAACGCAAGCCGGATATTTTTGAATACAAAATCAATAATACAATTTTGAAAAGAGTAGATAATATTCGTGATTTAGGTATAACGATGGACAATAAGCTTTCGTTTAAATTACACATAGAGTCAATTGTACAAAGATCATTTCGCAACTTAGGTTTCATTAGTCGGGTTTCTAAACCATTCCAAAAAAAATCAAACTCTCAAAATACTTTATTATTCTTTTGTACGTTCAAGTTTAGACTTTGGTAGTGTTATATGGAACCCTTATTATAAAGTGGATATTGATAGAATTGAAAAAGTACAGAGGAAATTTTTAAAAATATTAAATTACCGTATACATAATGAAAACGAACCATATATAGACTCTTTAAAACGTCACAAACTTATATCTTTAAAGGACCGTCGAAAGCAATTTGACTTAGTGTTACTTTATAAACTATTTAATTATCACATAGATTCCCCACATCTTTTAATTTATTAGCAGATTAAAATTAACTTTATTAGCAGAGCTCGCTTGCCCGTTCGTTACTCACGATCTCTAAATATATTTGTGCCACCTCGATGCCGCAAAAATTACACCCGCAACAATTACTTTCCCGCTGTCTTCATACATGCAACTACGAATTCTAGGACTTAGATTTGTTTAGTAACACTATCGCTAGTTTCAAATCACAAATTATAAAGAAATTTAATTGACGCTTTTGTACACTTAATATACCTATAACTGTTACAGTTAACTAAACATAAGCAATGTTTGTAGCAAATTCTGGGTACTATTTGTCTTTTTAAGCTCAAATATAAAATGTCATGTCACTTTATTGTAATGACTGTTTGTACCAAAATAAAGAGAGAAAGAAAAAGTATATGCCTATTAATACGGATGACGACTAATTTTTGTTTGTTTGTCCGTCAGGTAGTGTTAAAAAATATTAAACACTTTTTTTATTTTTTTCGTAATCATTAAATTACGGCGTTACATGGAGTTGAAATTTCGCATGACGTCACGTTATGGTACGTTTTCTACTAAACTGTGACGTAGCGTAGTAAATAAAAAAGTAAGTAGTAAATACGTTTCTAATATGTTTCTGTTATCTGACTGACGGACTAAATAGAATTGCATTTTTGTTACCCAGTCGTCATCCCTATTAGAAATAAAATTCCTAGATAACGCTGTTCTTAGCTTATTTATTCCTATATCTTTTTATTTCATAATCGACCGTTAGATGACACTGTTCTTGTTTTATTGACATCTTTTAATCTTCTACTCTATGTATCTGTTTTGTATACATATCAGAATGACGTCATGAATATGGCGGACAGCGTTTTAGCGGGTATAAAAAGTTTAAATTTGTTTTATTTCAAAGTAAGAAACGTGTTTATTTTTCAGAAAAATTTGTTGTATGTTTTTTTGTTATTAAAGTGCACACTTAAAAATGTTACTTCAAACAGAGTTGAATACCCTTTTGCTTTTGCTTAAGGGAATAACTTTCATTATGAAATTGACATTCATTATTTATAGTGTGGAATTAATCAATGTTACTTAGTACTTAGCTGAAACTTTCAACTAATTCTACGTAGGTATATTATATTATGAATATTAAAGTTGTATGTTTATTAGTTCTCAGTTGCCCTCGTCAGGAAACTAATCATCTGAATTCGATAAAACTTGGAACAGACAGATAAATAATAATATAGGTAAACAATAACCTTACTCAACTGTAACGTCTAGCGCAGAATTCAGTGTGATCGTGCGCTACATATGGCCGGCTTTTACACGTTTTAAACGAGCCGTTTCCTAATCATCTCTACTACATAAATAGAAATAATAATTAAATCTTCATAGATATGTAATTTGAATCTATAAAATATATTTTTTACTAAGTTTAAGTATTAATTATAGTTAACAAACGTAACGTTAAAAAACGTAAGAAAGAGACTACTCTCTTACTTCTCTACAGTAGTAGAGACGACAAAAAGATTCAAAATATATCGAATGTCGTTCTTAAAAGGACCATAATATTTCATCATTAATGTGCGCCTTTTATTATTTTATAGTAATAACTCATTATGGATCGATGGAAGGGTAAGACAGCAGTGGTGACCGGTGCCAATGCTGGTATTGGAGCGGCTATTGCAGTACAGCTCGTAAACGCTGGTATGCGCGTCATAGGTCTTGACGTAAATCTACTAGCAAACAAGGTACATACATATAGAAATATAATAAGACACTTTTACACTGGGTACATTATAGTCTATTCCTGTGGCAGGAGAAAAAAATGGACATTGATCCAAAGTATTATATGAATGTTAAAAGTAAACGATACAAATCGCTACCAAGCACTTCAGACATCTTACTATCTTTACTATGTAGGTTATCTGTGCATTAGAGGCAGTGTCAGATCGTACCTCCGTTGCATCATAGATAAAAAAAAAACATCGTTTCTTTGGAGTCGTATTACAAAGTTATTGTAGGAACTACCTCTTTATAATATTAATATAGATAGGTAATAATTTTTAGGTTTACTCAGATATAAAACTTTCTTTTTTATTATTCAGGTTTAATTATTTGTGGTTTATCATGACAATCGTTATAAACACACAGATAAGATATTTTACAATTTGTTATGTTCATTAACTTTCAACTGGTTTTGTACCTACGAAGGAATTACATACAAATAAGTTACAATTCCAAATGAGAAACAACTGTGATCGAAATAAATAGCGAGCCAAGCGTGCACATCGAATTAATGTCATTATATGTATGCCAAAAGACGATTCTAAGTTTAAAATTTCTGCAAAATTATGGTTTTACTTTTTAACTGACTTCAAGATCCGAAAGGAGGAGGTTATATGTATGTTCATTGATATTTACGCCAATTGTTGACCGATTTTCAAAATTTTTTGTTCAACAGGTTGATGGAACGAGGATGTTCCCTTTAAATTTTATTGAAATCCAATCAGTAGTTTGACTTTTATTACATATATATTACGCTTTTCACCAGGTGCCACCTAAACATTAAGATTAAAATCCGAAGGGAAGATTTGTTCAACGAGTTTAAATACTCTTTGATGTATATTTTTATGAACGTAGACATGTTCATTGATTTTTCTTGTAAGGCTTTCACTATGTTGAATATTTTATTTATATAAAAATTAAATATTTTAGAGTTACATACTACTTATACAAAAAAAAATGTATATCATAATATTGTTGTAAATGTCAATATGCAAAATCTGACAAAAAATGCTAAGGTAAGGTATTCCAGTTCCCTGTTGCCAAATATGACTAACAACATAAATCCCATAATAGTACATAGCGAGTTTTTGTTTGGGAGCGTCGATATATATGTTTGATTGTGTACTATGTAACAAAATCTTTTCCTTAAGATTATTCTGACTTTTAAGTTTTGACTATACTTATGCTATACGAGTGTATCCTAATCAGGCTTGCCAGATGGTCGAGATTCGTCTGGATTGTCCTGACATTTAGAATTATGTCCAGAGTCTATAATTACTGAACTCGTCAAATCAATAAATCCGACTTTTTGAAATATTTGTCCAGATATTGTAGTCTTCCCCTCTGCTTACCCAATGCTGAAGGAGTTTCTGAGAAATGAAGTTTATGCTATTCATTGTTCTGCGGGACGTCATTATCATATAAAAAGTTATGCTTTAAAATGTATATAATCTTTTATAGCATAACTACATAGCAAATAATAAATTTAACCTAAGTTATAAAATTGCAGAAGATTTCGCAAGCGCAAGGGCAGGGTTCGCTACATTCGCTGCATTGTGACGTAACTAAATCGGATGAGCTGACTACAGCTTTTAATTGGATTGAAGAACAATACGGCTGTGTACACGTATACGTTAACAACGCAGGAGTGAATATACCTGGACATATTACTGGTGCGTTACTAGTATATTACTTTTATAACCCAATCATTTAATTAAGATTACATAAGGTAATAGTTGTTACTAATAAAGTAGGAAAGGATACTTAGCGAATAGTTATGTCACTCGTTATCGTTCATAACAAAACAACACAAGATGCAGAAATTTATGAAATATTTGGTTTGGGTGGAGTTCTTTAAGTTACCATTTAGTAATTAAGTATTGTAGAAATATTAATCCTAGGGTTATGTAAGAATATTTTCTTAATAACCTTAAAAGCATTGGTCCCGTTGCCGCCCTAACACCACTCACCAGCAAGACTGTTACTTTTTACAGTTACTTAGCTCAACTTTCAAAAACTAAGATTTAAAATAAGAAAGTAAGACCAATTTAGTTTCAAAACAGGAAACAGTGATATTAAAAAAATATGCGGTCCTGTCGCTTAGTGCTAACACTCATGAATCGTATCTTAAGAAATGCTGAAGTGCCGCGTCTTCGACGTCTGAATAACCCAGCTCTCTATATAAATTTTGATAGATTATAAAGTTCATAAATCGTCTAGTTTTTGTATTTTAATTAAATACTTTGTTTAGATGTAGCTGGTGAGCAAATAAGTGATGAGCAGCTGCTAAGGGTGATGAACACCAACAGCACAGCAACAATTATGGGCACTCGGCTAGCTGTCGCCTCCATGAAGAAAAACTCTTTCGACGGTCATCTCATCTACATAAATAGGTTTGTATACTCAACTTTTTTCGTTCCATACTCTTCCACTAAAAATCACTACAGAAAAAAATTAAAATTTGGTAGGCCAAAAATGTACATGCACACATCAATAAAACTTGCTTTATTATAACTTCATCTTCATTACTCAGATTGCAAATTTGTCGAGTCGTACCAAAATTTCGGGGTCCTACCACCTTCTTATGAAAATAAAAAATGCACATTTAACAAACTAGGCGAGTGAGACATCATTTTCTATTTAGGTTATTTTTGCGCTGAAACGAATGAGACCGTACTTATAGAATTAATATTTTGTAATTATGTGTCACTACACTCTCTAAAGCTGATTCACTCGTTAAAAATATTCTTACCGTCTACGATTTATGTGAATCTCTATTTCTTATAACCATTGTGTTGTATCTTAAATCGAGTAATCATTCAGATCAGGTTCATCATTCAGAGCAAAACTAAGTAAAGTTTTTCTTTATGTTCTAGTTAATACTTATCTCAATAAATACTGTATAATAATAACAAAAGAGAACAATCGTCGCAAATTTGCAACGTCGCTATTTGCCGCAGATTTGCTTTTGACCCCACCAGATTAGAATCTGCCTAGCCGTCGCTGACTGCGACTGCAGTCATATAACATGATAGAAGAATGTCGACAGAAACTAAAAATTATATTACATATTACATTACCCAAAAAGATATTACATTACCCAAAAAAAAAAAAGAAATGCTGATTAACATTATCTTTATAGCATGCTCTGTTGTTTAATAAAATATTTTGCATATTATATTTAAATTGCAACAGAATTGAAAACGTCGTATTTTAATTCGTTACTCGCTGAAAAAATTACACAAACGTGTCCAAATAAAAACAATTCGAAGTTTTTAACGCTTTTTAACTTAACAGTAATTATTTGATGAGTCTGGGAATTTACGTTTACTTTTAATATGATTTCTTAAATAATAATTCAAAGTTATCTTTTGCGTTACAGCATCGCCGGACACTACATTCCAACGTCAGCATCTTTTAATGTTTACACGTGCAGTAAGCACGCCGTCACAGCGTTTACGCGCGTTCTATTCAATGAGCTGGCAGATTTGAAGAGCGGTATAAGGATCACAGTAAGTTTTGATATTAAACATCAAAGCGTTCTGCAGTGCTAATCTATACATATATAAAAGAAGATGTCCTGATTCACTGACTGACAACGCACAGCCTATACCGCTTGGCATGGAAATGCTGGCAACCATAATGGTTTTGCAGTGCTAATCTATACATATATAAAAGCAGATGTCCTGATTAACTGACTGACAATGCACAGCCTAAATCGCTTGGCACGGAAATGCTGGTAACCTTAAAGGTTGCTTTATGGTTGCCAGTATTTCCGTGTTGAAGGGACCAGGGGTGCACCCGCCTAACTCTCTATCCTTAATTCTATCCATAGGATTCGACATCTTAGCGATAGTGATATTCCGTTTCATGTTACTACTTTGACATGTGTTTTGGTGGAGAAATTTGGGATAAACGATTAAGTTGGACAGTTATCAAATCGATAATCATTATTCTTTATCGTCCGTTCATCGTTACTAAACTCGAAGTTCAAATAGTACAATGAAACAAAATATTGCCAAAACATCGATAAGATGTCGTACCTTATGGCTAGAATAATGGCTAGAGAGTTAGGCGGTGGCACTGCTGAACGTTGTAGCTACCTTCAAGATAACATTTTGAAAAGGCTATGAAAAATTTAAATATACCGATGTATAATGAAAAAAAGGTATATTGTAATTTCATCTTAAAATAAAGTCATACATTTAATTGCTGTTCTGTCCACAGACTATATCGCCGGGGCTGGTAGACACCGCAATGGCCAGCGGTATCAAGGATATGCCCAGTTTGAAGGCCGATGATGTAGCAAATACGGTGCTCTATGCGCTCTCCGTACCACCTAACGTTAATGTAAGTTTAATGTTGTTAAAACAATGCCAAAGCTTAAGGAGAAAGCTCAATTCGGTAAATTTAGACGTGAATCGTTCGTGGTCAGACTGGCTTCACTGTTTTTAAATTATTCTAGCGACTTTAGACTTAACTAATTCACAATAAGTTTTTCTGAACAAAACACTTAGTAGAAGATCCGAACCTAAATCGACCTTCACCGGGTTGATAATGGAATAAAACTTATTGTATAATTAATTTAGTATATTAGAAATGGGTTCGCTAAAAAAATCCTGGACAGAATATTTTAAATTATTTTTTAAAAAATATTTTTTTATTAAATGTTGCAATATCAAGATAATAAGAAAAATTTAATTCTGACTTAAAGTATAAAACATATAGAATGTGCAGACGTTGGGTTGTCTATTATTTACCTGGACGAACTACTGGGTTGTCAGGTATAAACAGGTATATCGATGCCAGTTAATTTCACTTGAATTGATAATAAAAAAAATTTTATATCAACATAAGCGCTGTTTCATTACGAACACATTGATATAGAGTTGTCTGCAAAAAATTTGGTCTTAATACGGGTTTGCGAATTTTAAAAATTAAAATTTTAACGCGTGGGAAAGTGAGTGACAGAGAGATCCGAGGAAAGTATACCGTGTAATAGTAAAGGACCCAACATTGCAGTGGTAAAAGACATATTAAAATTTAATTTAAAAAAAAAATTTAATCCCATTCTTTTAGGTGCTGTGTTTTCTGAATAATAACCAACGAAATTATTGAATTATTTAGTACAACTTGCTAGAATATTTTTAAATAAGAATTTTTATTATATTTTATAAATTTTGCCAGGATATTAATGTTTTTGCTAAATAACACTACTCGGTAATGAGTTTTTTGTTTTGTTTCAGATTAGCGAAATAACGATCCAGCCGGTTGGTGAAAAAAGGTTATAGAAAAAACTCAATATAATCTACAATTGCGTTTCAAAGGAATTGACTGTTAGCGATAAGGCCACTGCTTCTATTGTACTTTAAATTTATATTTGTTTTGCTGTTTTTTTTAAGGTTGGTAAAAACTATTCATACTTTGAATTATAATGATCGAAAAATTATTATTTCCTTGTTATTTGTGTTCACTTCATTCTATTGACATAATTGTTGGTGACCTGCTACGCAAACCTTTTTGGCATGTTTATTTTATAAATTCTCAATTTTTAAATAAATGTAATTCATACTTTTAGACTTACGAAAACAAATGTAAAACTTCAGTGAGAATACAAAGATACGGCTGTGACGGTGTGTTTTTGTGGTTTCCTTTGAAATTACCTGGTAGCCAAATCTCTATCTTTTTTAATAATACTTTATAAATAGGAGGTATTTTGACAGGTCAGTACCGTGGCTTGATTGAGATACAAACAGTCATCTGTACCTCAGATGAGGTAATTTTTAATTCTAATATCAGTCACTGAAAAAACTGACAGTATTTTGTGACTGTGCTGAAAGAGATACATATTCTGTATTCTGATATTTAAAATAATAACATGATTCTGACAGATAGATACACAGTTGTACAATTCAAACGATGACATTGTTGAAGTGACTTTAATGATACTTTAGAACGTCCATCAGCGCTTTAAAGTTTTATTTAATCTAAAGTTAAATTTAGATCGTTTATGCAATTGAGAGAGAGTAATTATAAGTATGTAATAATGCAGCGCGATAGTTTAAAAGTGAATATTATTGTAATTCTTGTTTCGTTTTTAATTTTGTAGTGTACGAGTAAGTAAAACTGGGATTTGATATATTATTAAATGAATGTTTAAAATTGGTATCGATTACATTATTAATCGATTGTAAACACAGAACATAGAGAGAGATTAGAAGTATAATGATATTAATTTAGTATGGGAACCGAGTGTCGCCTCTCCGCACACAAATGCAGATTAGATGAAATGATCATTTTGTTCACTACATGAAAAACCGCCACGCGATAGGTTCGCGATAACATAAATCAAATCCCAAAAAGATACTAAGCTAAGAAATCACACGATTAAAAACAAACTCTAATTCAACGTGATAATAAATAATTTACTTTAACATGAATGTTGAACTGTCACGTGGCTGTATATGGGGATACCAGAAGGAAAAAAATATTTTAAGATTATGCACATTTAAAAAAATTGGGGTCATCATTTTATGTGCGAACTATTAATATTAGATTTTGTTGTAACCAAGTGAATACTGAAAAATTAAGGCTTTTCCCTACATAATTTATTAAAATATCTTTTAAAAAACGCAGTACAAAAACTAAGAAAACTTAATGATACACTCTATCGTATGTCTGTGGAGTAATATAATTAAGCGAGGGAAAGAGTAAAAAAAACAAAAATTAAGAAAACAACAGAATTTTTGTATTAATTACATTAAGCCTAATTTGTATTTTTTTCTTACTGGTATCATTCCGATTGTGCATATTAGTGATGTGACATATTAGTTGATAAAATAAGAGCTTTAAATTTTGTTATGAAACAGTTCAATGTAATTCAGTTCGACAATTTTCTACAGTGGTTTGATAGTAATTATTTAAAGCTTTATTCAAATAAAACGAAATACATAAAGTTTGCATTACCTAATGTGAGGCATGTTAATATACTTATAAATGTAAATAGTGAAAAAGTTGAAATGGTGGAATCGACAGAGTTCCTTGGTATTTTGGTATATTGATAATTTGTCAAGTAGACTGAGTTCTGCAGCATTTGCTGTTAAGAAAATTAGACTCTTAACAAATGTTGAAACGGCAAGATTGGTATATTTTAGTTATTTTCATAGTGTAATGAATGACGTATAATCTATTGTTATGGGGTTCTGCGGCTAGCATTCAAGATATTTTTATTCTACAAAAGAGAGCTGTCCACGCTATATATAATTTACGGTCTAGAGAATCTCTCAGAGAAATATTTAAAGAAATAAATATTTTGACTGTTGCCTCTCAATACATCAATGAAAATATTATGTACGCAAGAAAACATTACGATTCCTTCACAAAAAAAAGTAGAAATAAAAATAAACTTGCCATTCCAAGTGCTTGTAATAGCCTTCTTGAATAAAGATATTTTCATTTCATTTCATAATAACTAATATGATCATTACACTAATAAATTGATCATAGCCATGTTTGTTTTACTTTATTATTCTAAGTTTTATATCTGTAATAATAGTAGTAGCTACATTATTAATTGCAACGACTGGACAATAAGGAATCGCTGGTCAAGTATGAGTTTGAAAGCCGTGACAAAAAAAGTTTGAAGATAGACACAAAAGCGATAAGTACGTACAAACGTCAATCTACATATAAAGTCACATCCGTTTGAGACATGCGTCTATAAACTTATGTGCAAATATGGAGCAACAAAAAAACTGATAAAAGCTGTTCTGTGGGCGGTTCTTTAAAGTGACTTTCTTAACTCGATTTCTATAATAATAGTTTCCGATTATGAATCAGCAGAATAAGGTAAATTAAATTGACGCCTAAAAATTAATTTTGTAAATTAAATTCACACCACCAACAATATTACGTTAGTTGAAAACATAATTTTTTGTTTGTATAGATATTATGTTGTTTTGAAATTCATTTGATAGGTTTAGGTCTAAAACAGATAGGGCAAAATTAATTATGTAAACAAGGCAATCCGTTGTAAAGTTATTAGGGAAACTGAAATATAAGTAATGCAAAATAAGTGAAATCCAGTTTCACCAGTTTCTAACAAGACCTATTAGGCCAACTCTTAGCTTTTCACGAAGTTTCGTTTAATTTATGTATTGTTCATAAAACGGTGATATACTTCGTAACTTAGATATTTATAGCACATCAGTAATTTTTAATATTTATCTGCGTGTAAATAATTAACCGAATCTTCGTATTAAAAGTGCCTGGACAGTTCATTATTTCATTTGTTCAGTATCAGTTCATCTATAATTTTCCCTTGTAAACAGTATTTTTTAGTTTTATATAATTATGGCATATATTTATCGATAACGTTGTTATGAAATGATGAAAGAAAAGCTCTAAATAAATATGTTTTAGTTATCGATTACGATCCATATAAATAACAATACGATTCCGAGCAGCAGCAGCCTATCGGTACATTTCAGACAAATGGAGGCACAGCACTATTTTTTGCAAAAGTGCACAAAATGATTTACATTGCTGTTTAGTAATGGGGTCAGAAACATTGATGTTGGTTTGAGCAATCAATGTATATTTTATTTAACATTGTGTCAAATTATTACGTTTTTTATATTTTAGCACTAAAATTGTACTTACCAGTGAAAGGAAATGTTTGCATTAGTTAGATTGTATACTTTGCTTTGCTTTTTGCAAGTGATAATAGCACAAAACGGCATTTTTTATAAAAAAAATCTGTAAAATCACCACTCGACGATTGACGAACGACTGGCAAACATAAAACCGAGGAAAGGGCGTCATATGAGTAAAAGCGCATATGCCAGCGACGCGTGCCCCGCCCACTTACTACTTCTATTCTCTCTCTATGTTCTGTGATTGTAAATAAGTCAAAAACATAGAATGTTGATAAATTCTTTTTATTTAAATAAAGCTTTTTTATGGCACTGAATTACAATTATAGCCTCTTGTCATGATAAAAACAGAATTTATATTAACATAAATATCTGTGTATGTATTGCTAGAATATTTTTATTCTAATTTTATTACATGGTTATCGAGTCAATAGATGCCGCAGATGCCGTGCTCATTACAGAAGCTCCGAACTTCAGAATAGCTCTTAAGATTTCCATCTTGAGGGTCCACAGAGGAGAAGCTTGCTGTTGTTGGTGAGAAGCCGGAGGTGGAGGAGGAGGCTGTTGACGAGAAATTTTATTTAAATTTAATTTATTCATATGATAATGGAAATCAATTTAAAAAATATTTTACTATTAAAGGTAATGAAAGGTTAAAGTCTGGACAGTTTGTTATTGCTGATTTTGATGGTAGTTGTAAATGTAAGTATAACATCTCTTCTAGCCAGATTCCTTGAAGGGTAGGCAGTAGAAAACGGTAGTTAGTATAAAATTTAATATAAAACACAATGGGACTGAGACTTTACGAATAAAAATAAAACTTTTTATCTAATACTAGCTGTCTTCCCGTGACTTCGTCCGCGCAAATAAATATTATAAATTCTTTCAGCTACGAAAAGCTCATACTTATACGCTATAGAGCCAAAATATATCATCTAAGTATGAGCTTTTCGTAGATGAAGGAATTTTCATGATCGGTTCAGTATTTCAGAAGATTATTCCCAAACAAACAAACATAATTAAAAACTTTACCTCTTTGTAATACCTATTAGAATAGACTAGTCAAATAATTAATATCAACATTAAAATCTAAACTAATTATTTTACTTACATACCTGTATATTTTTATTTCTACACATAGGGAAATATTCAAATAAAAGTCATAACATTAAAATATAAAAATGTCGAGTTTCTGGATATTTTAACATTCAATAATATATCATTTCACATAGATATTATTGAATTTCACAATAATACATAATTTAATAATTTCACATATTGTACTTTTTAAAAAACAATTTATTTCATCTACTCATAGGTATAATAATTTATCTACAAAACAAGCGTTCTTTATTGCTATTAACGCTGGAAAATGTTATTGCCGCCAATTTCTCATCTTTGTTTCTATTATTTTATTTATCTGATCATATCTTCTTGACGGGTTCGAACTACCAGCGGAGCTGCCTTTAGACATGTCTCCAAGTAGAGACATCAGCAAGCTCGCGATGAAGCCGGTAGAATCTGACATTGTCGTTTCATTTCCTCCATTTTCATCTGATCCACCTTCTTGGTCTGCCGCCTGAAAAACAACTTAACTGTCTCTAAGTATAATTTTAAATATACATATTATAAAGCGTTTTAAGATGAGTGTGTCACTAGCTTAATGTTGTTTGGCAAGAATATTTAAAAATGATATTACACAATTTTTTATCTATTATCACTGTTGATATTATACATAAAAATAAGACAAATAATCAGTTGATGTTTTCTTGCCAAGCCTTAGTTTAGTGAGTATATGTTACGCTCAAAGATCGAAATCGCTAATTGAGTGAAAAAATAATTCACAACGCGTTGTGGCTATCGCAGAATAACCACATAGCGCAATTCGTGTTATGGCTCTAATGGAAACACTCACGACGCGTTGTTTTAATTGCAGAATAACCACATAGCGTAACCCGTGTCGTGGCTCTCATGCTATTCGACTACAATGCGTTGTGGCAGTTTTTTCGTTCAATTAGCAATTTCGATCTTTAAGCGTAATATATACAATAACCACATAACTATTTAGCTGTTTTCGCCCACGTAAATTATGTTACTCGCGTTTGAAGTAGCTTCCCGGTAGGTGAAAGATTTTTTAAAATCGATCTAGTAGTTTCGGAACCTATTCAATGCGTTAAACACACCAATAATCTTTCCTCTTTATAACCTTGGTAAGAATAAGGTATTAGAAGAAATCGATTCTTACCTCCACTTTTATTACACCTTTTTTTTAAGTAACAAGCAAATCTATTCCCCCTTAATATTGATTTACCGCAGAAATTTTCATACATACCGCACTTGTTCCTTTGACTAATTTTGATACTAAATTTCCGAAGAAAGCGCCATTGTTTTGCTAAAACAAATAAGAAAACAAATATGAAAACAAATATTTTACTGAAATCTGTTGACTTGGTACTAAAGTTGGCAATTATATTTTAAAACCATTACTATACTTCGTACTATAATAAACGAGTTAATAATAATGGTCATATATATAATGAATCATGCACTTTGAAAACTTTAGAAGCTTATAAAACTTTTTATTCAAACTTACAGCACCGCCTCCAGTGATAGAATCTAACGAGGTCAATAGATAGCTGCCGATAACTGCTCCAGGATTTTCATTGCCCTCTGACTGTTAAAGATAACAATCAAAATTAACTCTGGCCAAATAAACCAAACTAAAATAATATGAAGAAAATTATTTACCAATAATCCAACGAAAAGTCCGAAGCCCGAAGCAATGACAGCGTTAAGGTCTATACCATCTCCCTAAAAAGAAAATTGGAATATAAATATTTTTATTGAAAAAATAATTATTATTTGGTGAATATCATAATTATTATTCTTAATAAAAATGTTTAAAAAATCCACCTTGTCCCTGGCAAAATTGATCAAATATAATAATCATAATTCAACATCAACATACTTGTATATTAACTCACACTTAGATTTGCCACAATACCGCTTATTGTCGCTAACAAATCACCTAAGTCTGATTGTCCGTCTTCCTGTGAAATTAAAAAGTTATTTGTATAATTTCTACTTTTCGGTTACGTCATTTCTTAAATAGACTTTAAAAGAATACCTACACCTCCACTCAAACCAGCTATAAGTCCAAGAATCCCACCACCTTGCCCGTCTCCTTCGGGGGGCTCGTCGGAATCATCCGAGGCATTAGAGGCATTTTCTGAATTTTGATTATCGACATCACCATTCTTTTCTTGTTCATCGCTTTCTTCCTCTCCAGTATCGTCATCCTCATCACTTTCTGAACTATCATCTTCATCAGATTCTTGTCTTTGGAAAGGTGGCGGCGGTGGTTTTAAACCTTTGACATAATCAATTTCTATATTGTTGTCATTTACATCATGTCGACGAAGAAACGAATACCCTTGATTGTACGCAAACATCTCTCTTAACAGATTTCTTAAGAATGGCTGAAAATAAAGAAAAACCATTGTTATAAATAAACAAATCAAGTTTAGTCATGTTACAAAGCTGTAAAAGGATTGTGACAAAGTGCAGATGCAACAAAATGAAAAGCTTACCTTTAGTGATTCCATCTTCAAATAAAGTGCTTCAATATTAGTTTAAGGTAGTGCAAAACACACGTGTAGATTTTTTGGGAAATGAACGACACCTTATAATTCACAAACACATAGAGGTATAGAAGAAACTTTCTATTGGAAACGTAAAACTAAAATACAGTGGTACGTAATATCGTGCAAGGTAGATCAACAAAAAAAGAAAATATTCGTGAGAATCGTCATCAGCCAAATATTACAAAAAAGAAACTAGTTCGCCATTAAAATTCTTTATAATTTAATATTTCTGGTTTGTTGAACATAAAAAATGTATACGGATAATTCCATCTTGGTGCTTAAATATTGTTGAATACAAGTTTTGCTATAATGTATACGAGGGTCAAACTGAAAGTTCTTAGAAAATCAAAAACTGATTACATTAGCCAGTTATTAGTTTTATTATATCTTTTCAAAATATTGTCCATTCACGTCAATACACCGCTGCATGCGATGGAACCACTGGGAAAAGCACTTTGCCCACTCGTCCTTAGGGGTCTCTTCAATGGCATCGCGATACGCAGCCACCGCTTCTTCAGCATTCATAAACCGCTTTCCTTTAAGTTTTTCTTTAATTTTTGGAAATAAATAAAAATCACAAGGCGCGAGGTCGGGGCTATACGGCGGGTGACCCAGTAATTCAACGTTTGATGTCGCCAAATAGTCGATCGTTCGCTTGGCGGTGTGCGACGAGGCGTTGTCGTGGTGAAGGAGGATCCTACTGCGAGGTCGTTTCTCTCGAACTTTTTCCAAGACAAGTGGCAAACAATTGGTAGTGTACCATTCTGCAGAAACTGTTTTTTGATCCTCTAACACAATTGTTGCAAAATGACCTATCCTTCCAAAGAACGAGGCCACCATTTTTTTTCCCGCACTTCGATCTCTCTTCACTTTAGTTGGCAACTCCTCGAAAGGAAACACCCACTGAGCAGATTGTCTTTTGGTTTTAGGATCATAACAGTAAATCCAGCTTTCGTCACCTGTTAGTATGTCGAACATAGCATTTGAGTCACCTCCGTTAAATCTTTCAATCATTTTACGACACCAATCCACACGATGGAGTTTTTGAGCCTCAGTCAAATTATGAGGTATCCACCGGGCGCAAAGCTTCCTGACCGCTAAATGTTCGTGGAGGATTTTGTGCACTTGACTCATACCGATGCCTAAGCTTGTCCGAATCTGTTGATAGGTCACTCTTTTGTCAGTCTCTATCATACGCCGCACAACACAGATGTTATCTTCAGTCGTCGCCGTAGAAGGCCGTCCCTCACGTAAATCATCAGTGAGATTAGTGCGACCACGTTTAAACTCATTAAACCAGTTGTAAACAGTCGCACGAGATGGGGCTTCATCGTGAAAGGCCAATCGTAGTCTATCATAACTTTCTTGTTGACTTAAATGACATCGAAAGTCATAAAAAATCATTGCACGAAAATTTTCTCGTGTTAAATTCATGATGACGTGACACAGACAATTTTCAATTTGCCGCCAAATCGTAAAACAAATGACAAATGAATGAAATATATACTCAGTAATATTGGCAAAGAGTTATATTTTCAAATTTTAGAATTATTTTTTTATTATATTGTTTATAAGTGGCCAGTTCTAAGAACTTTCAGTTTGACCCTCGTATATAGTTAATATAATTTAATATCATCCGAAAATTTTACAAAAACCAATAAGCATTTCAAACCTCTATGAATTTTTGTTATTAGTGCGTTAAGTGTAACAAAATTAACAATCCAACTCAAACAGTGCAATATTTTATTGTCAATTTGTTTAGTTCCAAACATTCAAAATATAAAAGTATTATTATGAGGTTGTCTAGATTACGCTAACCGAAACCGCATAATTGACAACCTACCGGCGCTTATTGTAATAACCTTTAGAAGTGTCGTGCTAAAATACTTCCATTTCCTGTTCTAAATTTACTCACACATGCATAGTATGGCGTATCTGTCCGATTTAGGCCTTATTACAATAATGTTATTATGAAGGCATGATATGCGACTCACGTTATTGGTGCCACCAGAGCTTGGGAATAGAGCTCCAGCGAGACGCAGCAGACTGAAAATACTGCTACCCCCTGTGGTCGGTGCCGAGTCCATTGACTCGCCGAAATCATCATCATCGTCATCATCAAATGGGTCAATTGTCACTGATGATGTTGTAGTCGATGTCGTTAAGTCTGACATCTGAAAAAAATCAGAAACAATAATAGAATAAATAAAAGTAAATTATATAAGTACAGCAACATCATATACGTTGTTCTGATCCGAAGTCCCTATGTTTCTACAAAAACATTTATTTTTTCGAAACGTTAATACGATTCAAAAGAAACGCATTTTCAGATTATTTATGATGCAACGGAGATTGGATCTGAAATTATCTCTTATGCAGAGATAATCTTCACGAATATAATTATATTAAAATTATAAGAACGATTCGAAATTTGATGAAGTTTCCTTCGTGGATCTTCTTCTTCTCTGATAATATTTAGATAGATATACAAATTGATAGGAAAAAATACAATTATACCTATGTAATCGATTGTTGTAATTAAATATAAGGAAAATTGTTAATAAATATGTGAGTAACTTTTTTTATAATAACCGTAATAGTTTGCGAATAATTTATTTAAACTAAATACAGGCAAAATGTGCATCTCAAACAAGCACAAAAAGAACAATGGCCAAAATGGACTACGAAAAAAAGTTCTTGTACCAAGATGGAACTATTACCAAAATGTAGTATAAGTTGAATGTTATTATTATATACCAACAATTTATTTTTAAAAGCTGGGAAAAGAAAGATATTCCTCTCTAAAATAAGTCTTTATTTCTTAGAACGCAGTTTAAATTATGTTATTTTTGAACGCATCTTAATAATAATGTCATTCCTAGAGAAGTCCCTCTCTTTTCAAAGAACAAGATCGATTTTATTTCTGACTAATCGAATTTGATACAAATCTTATATTATTTACTAACCATATAAATCCATGAAAATTTAAACTAGATAGATTACAATAAATTAGAGTTTTAGAGAAAATAGTTTATTTATAATGAAATTAAAAACTAATGTTAATAAAAACGATATTACAGTAAATCATTGGACCCCCTTTTTTAGACAAGTATGTGTAGACGTATTTCTACGCAGATCGTTTTGTAACTTTGGCGGCGATTTTGTATTAACTTCTGTATTATGGGGAGCATACTAGGTTCCATGGTATACTGAGAATTGAGGTCTGTAGAGAAATACCGGATTCTCTGGATTTATTAGAATTAGACTTAAATATAAATAAATTCCTAATTATAAGGGGTAGAATTGAGTCGAGACATTGGGAGAAAACAATATTATGTGTACATTTTAATAAATAATTACACATCCGGGTTAGATGGCATATGAGAACACTGCTGTAATTGTTTTATTGGTCGATGTACACTGGGATGCTGCGCTCATATAATGACCATAGTTTGGTATCTTGGATGGGCCAGACATGAACAGAATGTAGCTCCTGCAGCATTCCGTGATGAGGTATTCATTAGAGTTGTAATAAAGAAAAGAAAAATCAACATGTTGTTTTGCTATATCCTTTTGACATTAGTATTTTCACTACTACTTTATATTAGTTATAGTGTAAGATGGAAAAGTAGAGTTATTGGAGCAATCTTAAAAATTCTATTATTTTTTTTATGTTTATTGGTTCACAAAAAATGATTTTATTTCTTACAGTCAATAAAAATAATATATCAGATATGGAGCAAGTTTGAAGTATTATGTGAAAGTATGCACTTCTAGGACCACGATTAGGCATTATCTGACGTGTGCTTCATATATTTCAACTGTAATACCTCTAACTTAAAATGCTACAGTTTAAATAATACGACATAACCTCAAAAACATATTACACAATTACTCGATACTCCCAGCTTTTAAAAATATATTTAATGTCTTTCTTCGTTCTAGTTGCATAGGCAAACAAAATAACATATGTTTCATCAAGTTACGTTTTATTCGATTTTACTAGTCCAAGCATGTTAGGCAGATGGCCATTGTTCTTATATTGTGTTTTTACAGTCAATCATAAGAATACGATGACGAGTGAGCACTCGTTTTTGTTAATATTTCTAAAATAACCATAAAATATTAATAAATATGAATATAAAAGTAACATTATCAAATTTAATTTTTAACTATGAAGTTTAAAAACCTATGTAAATATGTTCATAGCCATTGAATTTTGTAAATGTAAAATAACCTTTTATTTAACATCGCAATGGCAGATATTCCGATTCTATTGTCGATTTTTTTCCTCTTTATTTATAATGGGATATTCGTTCAAAACCTGTTTCGTAAGAGTCGGATATTAATCGAAATAAACATTATTGAAATTATTAAACCACTTGTTCTGTGCAAAATCTGCAAATTGCAAAATAATGAGTTTACACACTGGTTTAATTAGAAAGGTTTATTTTGTCACTTGAATTGAGAAAAACTCTGTTTTTAAAGAAAAAAAATGATGTATTTTATCAAAATGTAATTCACAATATCTAATGAACAGTTGAGCGCTTCAAGAAATTTTCTATTCATACTTATTACATAATTGCTTAACGAGGGGAATATTATTATTATTACCCTCATTTAGCAATTATACTGGACAGTGGCCACTAAATAAATATAAATGGTTAAAAATTTCTTGAAATATTCCATGAATTTCAATGTATAATGTAATTTAAAGATACACTCTAATAGACGGTACAGATTACGCTGAGAAGTCTCACCGAGCCTTTTTGGCGAAATCATCTAAATATATATAACTCAAAGGTGACTGACTGACATAGTGATCTATCAACGCACAGCTCAAACCACTGGACGGATCAGGCTAAAATTTGGCATGCAGGTAGATGTTATGACGTAGGCATCCGCCAAGAAAGGATTTTGATCATTCTACCCCCAGGGGGATAAAATAGGAGATGAAACTTTATTTCAGGTATTTTACACGATATATTGAATAAATATTCGTTAGAAATACTGCCCAAAGTAACTTTACCACGCGAACAAAGTCGCGGGCAAAATCTAGTGAAATATAAAGTAATGAGAAGGCAAAAAACATATTACATTCTCGAGTCTCGGGTGTTCTGTCCGGCCTGGTCCAGCTTATAAGCCTCCGTGTCAGATAAAAACAATGAAATAAATGAATGAAGCAATATAAGCGAAAAGATTTAACCGTTAACTCCATGAGTTACCTAGATATAATCTTAATAAATATAAAAAAATACTGTAAACAATAAGGGAAAAAACACTATTACAATATAGGCATTTATAAGTTTTTAATAGCGAGTATTTTGAAAAAGATCGGTGGTAAATATGGAGGTAAGTAAATCCTATGTTTGCCATGGCGGCCTTTAGAATTATCCACAAGATACCGACTCAAAAACCACGAAATAACGTGCAGAAATTAGATTAAATCGAAACTAACCTTGTCATTGTAGTCTCCAAGTTCGTTATCGAAATTATCTCGTTGCCATCTTATGGTTTTGGCAGGCAAGGCAAACGCCTGAGACAGGAGGCAAGTCGCCAAAATTACCGCAATGTGTCTTCTGCACGCCATCTTCACTAATACTGTCTCCATAGATTAAGCCTGCTCAATAAAAATACCTTTGCTCATTAGCACTGGAATGGCGTTAATGAAGCTTAAATGGCGTCTAATTATTATTGAGAATTTATGTATAGATTTCAATTTGTTATTTTTTACTGATTATTGATAGTCTAAGCAGAACTGTGATAGATAATCATGATTTTTTTCAAAGAATTCATCACTTATGTAGATCTGTATAGCTATTAATAATAGTTACTTTATTTTAACCACGTATTAACATATAATATTTCACATCTGCAGGTAGAATGAAATAACGTGAACAACCTAGTAAGGATATCCTACCCACTGTTTTGTTTTTAAAACGTATCGCAATCCGAATAGTATTAACTAACTTTTCCCGCGATTTCGCCGACATTAATTGTAGCCTATGTCACCAGTGTATGATGTAACTAAGAATTTTTAAATTCGATACAGTAGTTTAGGAGAAAGATTTTTCCTCTTTTTAAAACTAGTTCAGACATGTGCTGAAAAAATAGGCATTATCATAAGGGAGGTAAAATTATTCTTCTGCCTTATTTACGAGGTAACCGTTCGTTATTGAAAGTACACTGACCAATGATGTCACTGAGCAGAAATTCAGGACACAAAAACCTTGACAATATTCAAAATATCTAAGTTTTTTGACATTTTAGTATTAAGACGTATTGTTTTTATGCGTTAATGGTTTGAAATTATCTATATAATCAGACTTAATATATTAGCTTACCTGACTAGATGAAGACACACCTAACCAATGTTATCCAACTGGTCGTATGATTCGGCGGCTCTCATGTGCAATCTTATAACAAAACTTTAGATCCGTCCGCAAATAAAAGGTGATGTCGTTTTTAAATTGTATACAATATTCTCGAAAATTTGGAAAAATTACACTCTTGCTTACTATAGACGAGAGAAATAATTACTTGAGAAAATATCATAATTTAAGCTATTATTTCTAACAAATAAACAAGAATCTGAAGGAAGTAATAATTCTCAAAAGTTAGAATACTATTTTTATTGACTATTGATAGTTCTTACTTCATTCAAATTCTCGTATATTACTTTAAAATATTTGCTTAAGTTATGACATTTTTCAAGTTTTAATATACTTCTCTCGATATAAGAGTGTTATGGCCAGTTTCTGAATATCTTAAAATAAATCTTTTACTTATATGATAAAGCAAAAAGTTCAAGTTTGTTTGTTATCAACTGATCACCAAAAAACTAAAATCAGAAAAGTAAAACCTGTTAAAGTAACATTTAAGTACAGCTAGAGACGTGCTTAACATTAAATACTCAATTCAGAAACCGGGTGATAGTGTTTGGTCTCTATATAAACTTATGATTGGAACATGACATGTTCTATGCATTCAGAAATGAAAATAGGATGTTATCTGGTGATATTATCTTACACATCACTAAGACTGAAAAAATTAAAGTGTTGTAATATCCTTCTCGCTCCACCGACGGTAGGTACTGTGTGCCAAAAAAAGCGCGTATAATTAGAAAAGACGAATAAAATTTGAAAAAAAATATATGCTTTTTCTGTATGATTTGCTTTAATAAAATAATAGTTTACAGATTGCGTCAGTTCTATGGGGTCTGTTAAAGTATGATTATTTAAATAAACTTTAATATGATTATCTGAACCGTGAGCCAACTTTTACTTATTTGCAAGTTTTGTTTCCTATCTGAGTTTGTACTCAGATAACGTATAAGTTGTATTAAATTGTAAATTTTTATTATATTATACAATTCCTTAAAATATGATTCCGGCTATCGCTTACAAAGTAACGAAATAATGTGAAATCCCCACCAATTTAATATAAATACGATCAAGGGGTTCATGGCGCGCCGAAATATTAGGAAATCAACAAAAACAAGGTACATGGTAGCAATTCCACGAAAAACTATATAATTGAAAAGTAAGACTATTATCTGCGCTTTCAAAGCCTAAACTAAATCACTAAACCAATTTTAATAAAATTTGGCACAGACATGGATGACATAGCGAAAGAGGTTGAAATAGGAAATTAAACTTTGTATGGAAGTTCGTCATTGAATGTGGCTATACCATGTGGACAACGTCAAATTTTAGTTATAAATAAAGAAACGATCAGCCTGTATGTGGAGGCGTGGTGTCAGCAGCCAAGGTCTGCAGGACGTATATTGCGCCACTCGAGTTACCAAACCAACCTGACGGCGACTCCTTCCGGTCACTTCTATCTAAACACTATTTACCGACGGAAAATCGGATCTCAATGATAATACAGTGCATGCATTTAAATTTACAATATGGTAAATGTTATCAGTGAAGTAAAAACACAAATAATACACATGCAATTATATTACCTTTATATTATCATATTAGTATAACACATAGACATCATCATTATCTATAACATCAAGGATTAAGAAACTAATATTCCTCTTTTCTATTTTTATTCCATTGATTAAACCAGTTAGTTCTATCGTCAACCTATTTGAAGTTATAAAACCTTCTTAATAAAAATGCTTTACAATTTCACCAAACCCAGGGACTCTAAGATGGGACTCAAACCCATGAACTTTCGCAATAAGGGCGACTGCTCTAATCACTGAGCTACCCAGGGCTTAACAGGGGACTGATGAATCGTTCAAGCGCTTTTTTGCACAAGAACAATTTTACCAAAATAGCATTGTGAATTAAAAATTGATATAATAGTAATTTAAAATAATAGTCATAAAACCTGTCATTGAAATAAACACTGTGTTAACATAACCGGGATAAGGTCGTAATAAACAGGAACTAATCCTGTCTATTTCATTACGCAAGATTTTCGTTAGTGCTTTAAAGTTACCTCGTCTATAAACTGACTCAAATATTTATCAAATTGTCTTTTAAAATGGTAGGTTCCTATAATTACAATAATAAATGTACAAAAATAGTGACTTTTAACACTAACTTTGTGATTTTTTTTGTCGAGAAAATTTCATAAATTCCCATTTTAGCTGTGTGTTACCCTTACAAATATAGTGTGGTTTTCTCATAAATAATTACGGTTTATTTAGACATTTTTTTCTTTATATAAAATCAATTGAAAGTTAGTGATTTTTGTGTAGGCTTTATTTGAGTTCTACGGTTCTAATTTCAAAATATAACTGACGGAGATCCGATGATACACATAAGGATCCTAATAATCCTATTAATATTATAAATGTGAAAGTTTCTTTGTTTGGATGTTTAGATGTTTGGATGTTTGTACGTCAATCACGCCGAAACTACTGAACGGATTTTGATGAAATTTGGTTTTCAGATAGGGTGTTAGCCGACTTAAATAATAGGATACTTTTTATCCCACTAAACATTTCCCCTGGGCCCACGCGGGCGAAGCCGCTGACGAGAGCTAGTATTATAAATGTGAAAGTTTCTTTGTTTGGATATTTGTCCATCAATCACGCCGAAACTACTGAACTGATTTAGATGAAATTTGGTATACAGATAGGGTATTAGCTGACTTAGATAATAGGATACTTTTTATCCCACTAAACATTTCTCTAGGAACCACGCGGGTGAAGCCCTGGAGAAAGCTAGTATTTACTTTATTTTTATTTTAATCCTTTATGCCCAATGGTACAAAGGCGGACTTAATGCTTTAGGTATTCTTTGCCAGTCAACCTTAAGGTGATGCTGTGTCGTGATTATAGAATTTTAAAATGAATCATTTTATATAAATGCACAGAAATATCTCCTAGTAATATAGTCTCGTCAAAGATTGTATGAAATTGTTCAACTTAAAATACATTTGGGATTTTTTAATCAAATTCTGTTATTATTTATTCTTGTTATTAGGTATATAAAAACCAAACGCAAGATGATCGCGGCTAATACATACAACACGTGTTAAAGTGCGAACCTCCATATTTTAGTCGGTTAAAATACTTAAAACCTTCTCCTAAGTCTGACAACTACTATACTGAAAACCACATCAAAATGGGTTTAACCAAACGCGAGATAATCGCGCACAAACTTCCATACATACATACAAACAGGTCAAACTAAGACCCTCCTTTGCTTGAAGTCGGTAAAAAATAGGTACATATGAGTTATCTATCAGATAGACACGAACAATCAGAAAAACCCTCTGAGACGATTGATTAATATTTAGATTAATATTTTTTAAATTACAAATATAAAACTTTCAATCATATTTCGCAAGTGATAATCGAATTGAAACTATAAAAGATTAAAAAAATAATTTTCAAGATCGCACTACAAATCGCGGAAAAATTGATGAATGTACATAAAAATACATACCCGTCGAATATTAACACTCTTCCTTTCCTCGAAATCGGTTCAAAATGACACATTACTTGTACATAGCATATGCCTCATTTATTAACCTCTAATTATGTGGATAAATCACGATTTTAATGGAATACCTATTCATTTAAATTGATTTCTAATAACGTTATTAAATTATGCTAATTATGGGCTATTTTAATAAGTTTCTCACTTATAAAATTATTAAACATATATTAAGAGGAAAAATGAAACTTCAAATATTATAGGTATGCATACTATTTTATTAAGTATGTAAATGCATTCCATAGATTTAACATATATCACAATTTGTGATTGACAATAATTATAAAGTTTATTTACAAATTAATATAATATTTACTCTACCAGTGCACGAATTAAGCAACCGTTAAAAAGTGCCATGCTTTGTAGTGGTACCTATACGCTTCATGAGACTGTGATCAAAAATAAGCAGGAAAAATAACAGACATCTTAAAATACTGAAAAAGGCCATTAGGTGAAAGCCATTTTCAAGTTCAACTATACAAAATTTTAGAACTATATAAATATTATCGATTTGGAATTTTGAATAAAACTGGTGTACCATTTTCCTTACAGTTGGCGATATTTCTAGACTTTGTCCGACCTTTGTTTCTTAAAGATACGATAAATAAAATAAAAATATTTTTTTATTTTTTATCATTCGGCAAAATAGTATTATAATATTATTATAATATTTGAATATTTATAAATAAACAATGTAGAACGTACTAGTTACTCCCAATAAGCTATGCAGTCCTATTATATCTAGGAAAACAAAGTTCTCAATAGGTATACTTTTTTATTTATAAATCAGTCCTTCAGGATTCAAATTTACAAATTCTGCAGACACAATCATCCATACTAATGAACTTTCCCGTGTTTGTTTATCCTTCTATCACGTCACAATAGAGCGTCTCGTTATATTAGACCACATGACAATCATTGCCCAGATATCAAATTAGGTAGTATTTGGAGTATAGGAATTTGAAACAACAAAACTATCACAAGACCTCTCATTCTAGTACGATTTTAGGGAGATAGTTAGAAGGCTAGATACAACAGGAACTACCATAAGACCTCTCATTCTAGCACGATTTTAGGGAGATAGAAGGCGAGAGTCAACAGGGCTACTTTTTATAGCGAAATAAAAATTTTATTTATATCTCCTTTGTCATCACACATGTAAAAAAATATTTGTTGCCATCAGGAATTTGATGTGTAAGTTTGTGATGAATCAAATCAATGAAACGAAAAAATTCTAATCGTCTCCGATCCGTTCGACCAAGTATTCACAAGGTAGCTTTCCTGCCTATTTTATATTTTTTTCCAGCATCCGTTCTCTCACTAACAGAATCACTAACAAGAATTAAAGTTAATACTCTTTTTTATGTGATCTTCTATTTGATATGTATTTTATAAATGGAATTTCAGTCCGTGCCTACAGAGGCGTCTGCTCTTGGTGGTCGCAACTTTTCGAGTAAAGGTATCGCTACTCCGACCAGCTCCTCCCAGGCAGCTAGTCTCCTGCACGGGCCACAGTCACACTCTCCCTCACCCTCGCCCTCCTCGAAGCCCTGATCCTCGCCCGAGTGGCCATCAGTTCTGTCCGTTTCCTCGTCAGAATAATCCACATTCAATTCGCGGTCTACGCTGTTCGCTTTAATGAACGGCGGTTTTTGTAACCTCTTTTCGTCAGTATGGTTATTGTTGTTGTGAGCGTCGTAATGTACCTGAGTGAAACATATGAAAATAGATATATAACTTGAGGCATATTATAGCTTATCTAAAGAGGATTCACATCATAACATCACGTCTTGTATCCAGAAACAGCATCACTCTGCCATCCTAATCTCCACTCTAAATAAATCATATAGTGTAAAATCAAAAATTTTGTTGCTTGATCATTATAATTAACTAGTACCCGTTATCGGAGGAGTAATTTGGGAATTTGAAGATTTCAGAGATGGGTAAAAATATTTATGATGTCAATAATGATAATTAGTTTTAAATAAGTATCAATTTATTATTTATTGTATTTTTACCGTTCTTGAAAAACGACCAGATCCCAAACTGCACCTCCAATATCGGGTTCTAATTATAATAAATTTAATACATAACTTCAATTAAAAAAAAACTTCTTTAGTTTTTTTTATATTTTAGGATGCTAAAAGCCACTTGCATAAATGTCCATTAAAATGGTTATTAGTTTAACGTGACATTACCGAAACAAATTTGCCATTCATTAAAGCTTTTGTGCAATTGATACTGATTGGTCGTTTGTGCGACTGACCGTAAGACTATATTTTAGGACTTTATAGTAAATGTACACTATTAAGTATAAGTATTACATGGTGTTTGAAGAGGGCGGGGTCACTGGCACGCCGATCACCCATGCGGAAAGCCTCGCACGCCGCGAAAACAGACTCGTCATCTGTAACACACATTATTTTATACACACATACATATAAAATACACTTTCCGCTGTTCAATTGCGCTGCTATCTTTTAAACGACATAACGGATTTTAATGGGATTTTGAACAATATACAGTGTGATGCGTCGTAAAGTTTTATACGTATAATACAGGATTAGTTAGGTTAAGCCGCTGGCGGAAAGTTTTATAAATACGAATGTAACTGTCTGTTGCACTTTCTAGACCGATGATATCTACCTACCTCATAGCTGTAGCTGTAGAAATAGCAATTATCCCTATGAAAAGGATATCATAGTTACAACATGGAATATAATTAATGGCGAATTTTAAGGATAACTAGGTGCTTTTCGTTTTTTTAATTGCGAAAGGTTGTGGGTTCGAGTAACATCTCAGAGTACCTGAGGCTGTTGGATTTTTTAAACATTTTTAATACATTTTCCAGTATAGCATTGTGAATGTTAAACTGATAAAATATAAAAGTTTATAATTTCACGTTATGGCTGTGATATAACCACAGAGAAGCAATGATGTATTAAAAAGTTTAGATGGGTTATCTGCGTACAACATTGACAACAAAAAAGCAAGGCAATTGCCCGAGTTTCGCTTTAGTCACCCACCCCGCCTCGGGCGGAAATTTTTAGGGGGCGGCAAAATTTCACAGTCGTCATCATCATCATCATCATCAGCCCTTTAACGTCCCCACTGCAGGGGCTCAGGTCTTCCTTAAGGATGGTTAAGAAGGATGGGCCATGACCCTCCACGCTGGCCTAATGCGTATTAACGACTACAAATACAGCCGGGACCAACGGCTTCCAAAGCACGGAGTAGCCCAAGATAATTTTTTTTTGGTTACCCATCCCGTGACCGATTCTTGCGAAAGTTGCTTAACGAAAACGATCGCGGGCCGCGGCGCTTATCCACTACGCCACCGAGCTACAACAATAAATAACCGAGTTAACAATAAAATTTATTTTTTAAATATTTGAACCATTTCATATTTTTAACGCAACTATAAATTATATTAACTGACATTAAAAAACTGAAATTTGCAAAGATTGAACCTAAGATATCAATACAAATACGAAAAAGTACAAATAGAATGTGACTTATTTATTGAGTTTAGAAAATTAAAATTAATTAATTTTTATACATGAAAGAAAACCGGAAGGGTTGTCATGGAGAAATCAATAAAGTACCGTAGCGACACCTAGATTGATGCCGGGAACTATTTTTTTTTAAATACTACCTCATTCAAAGAAAGTTTTATTCGTGGATCTTCAGTTTTTTAGTTCATATTATTTTTTTTATTTCAAATCTTTTTTCGATTCTAAAAGACAAGTCCGCTTTTTAGGTTACAAGTCCTGTGTTGCGAGTGACAAAGTACACTCAGACTAAGAACAATTATAAGTAAATCACACGGCAAATTTTCCTTTGTGGGGATCGAATCACAACACTCGATGCGTGGGCATGGTGGGCATTGCATGGTGACAACTAAACTATTCGACCAACCATGCAGTCAAAATCTAACCTGTATAATGCAAAATAATGATGACAGTTCTTGTCGATAAATTCTTTAAAATTAATGTATGCAATGTATAGTATAATTATATAAAATATCTATGAAATTTCTAATTTAGATGGCAGCAAATTTGTCTTCCTCCTCAGTCGGTACACTCACGCTACGCCACTGTTGCGCTTCCACAATAAAGTTTATACTTTTTTTTAAATGCAATAATGTACGAGTATGACGTTTCTAATAATAAAACCTCATTGTAGAGAAGATTTAATATATAACTTTAACATGTATTTTACCATTTCCATTTACGGCTTACTTATTTGGACGTTAATTCTTTGTATAACACCAGTTGAAAGTTTGTGAGTTTAGGAGTACACAGGGCGTGTACACACTTGAACACTTAAGTAGTAAAGATTTGATTGTTTGTTTGCATTGAAACTTACTGGACCGAATTTAAAAATGGTTACAACTACGGGAAGTGATATTAATACGCGGGTAACATAGGCTATAATTTACACAGGCGAAAAGGTCGAGGGAAATCAGCTATTATAATAATAAAAATAGAGCACAACAATATAATGTAAACGTATTTATTTATTGATAAAACTATAAAACGTTCTTACTGCCATCGTTAATGACTCTAGCTATGAATCAGGCGAACGCAGCCTTGGGGAGCGACATATTCCCAGATTATGATATCAAAATATCAACAATACATCCTGAATCCTGAATACGAAACGTAATATGTTAATAGTATTTTAAGCATAGAAAACCTTTAGTTGAGATTCAGTCTGTTGACTATGATCAATCATATTATAATTTGAAAAAGATGTCGATGATAATACTAAATTCGCATTAAAAAGTTACCTTTGATAATTTCTTCTAATCTTATCCAGTCCCATCTAAGAGTGCCAGGGACAAAGTGGATTTTTTAAGCATTTTTCATTAAGAATTTCTTCTTTCATAAGCAAAAATTTTCGTTCTAACAATGCCCATTAAATAAAAATATATTTTCGTAATATCTTTGCAAAAAAAAAAACATATCGATATATACAAAAATAATTTTAAATAGAAATAGTTACAAATGATATATTAATATCGCAAATAACAAAAAAGAAACGTTGACCCCGACGTGATTTGAACACGCAACCTTCTGATCTGGAGTCAGACGCGCTACCGTTGCGCCACGGAGTCGGTTGACGAAGGGACGAAATAACGTATCAGTTTAAACATATCTCTCGCATATTACTAATAGATAAATTATTTTTGTGAAATTTTGATTTTAAATTTTATTTATTTATCAAACATCATTGTTAAGATTAAAGGGATTATCCTCATCGCGGTTTTTTTATTCACGTGGATTTTGTTTCACAATGACATAACAACTTGTCCGCATTCCGAATAAATTCCGCGCGGTGTTTGTCAGTTTTATTTTCCCAGGCGGGACAGAACGAACGTCTAAAAAACCAAGTGCGAATTGGACTCACGTATGTAAAGTTGCGTACCGGAAACGAACAATCAGCGAGCAATATTAACGATTGTTGTATAGGTGCCCCTTTAAAAATTAATTATTCTGGTTTTTAATTTTTAGTGAAAATTTATAACTGTTTAACACGGTTCGTGAGATACAGCCTGATGACGGATAGATAGACCTCGAAGGTTGGAAGTTTGCCTGAAATTTGTCTATTTTCAATTAGCATGATATTGAAATCAATATCAATTTCGTAATTTTCGGCGGCCGCCGAGTGGACGGAAAACGAACTGCGTAAAATCTTTCCACCGCTAGTGCCGAATACTATTTGCAAGAATGAACAATCGCGAAAATCTTTAGACGTGTTTTTTTCTGCAAGTGCGGATATTCCCATATAATGTGTTACAGAATTGCTATAAGAAATTCGCGCGAAATAAAATAGCGATGAGGCGCGAAATAAAATGTTTTTATTAATCCAACGATTTTGATATTTCAGAAAAGTTATGAAGTTATGAAAGTTATGAGGTGGCAGCTGAAGGGCCGGTGCACATCTGGCGGAAAATCCGTCGCGTATGATCCAGTGTGCAACGTCAGCTGACAAAATGTATAGGTAATATAAAATTTTGTACACTTGACCGATAATAAAATCCGTTGCGTATAAATACATAGTTCCGTGATAAGCTCGGCGGATTTCTGAGCGAAATTTGTCTTCTACGGTCTTACTACCAAAAAAAGAAAAAATACTACCTTAATTTTTCTTTAGCTTTTATATTCTGGACCACCAGATTTCATAACCGATTCAGTCATTTTTAAGATCATTACTAAATATAATCAAAAAAATAACTAGCCAGTCTTGGCTACTCACGTGCAAAAGTGACACGTGGCAAAGTTTATGGAATTTCGTGCTCTTTTGTAATGTGTCGCCTCCAGGTACAAATAAAAAATATAAAAGTATAAAAAATTAGCCCCGTATAAAAAATTGTTTGAGGGCCCTTATGAAGGGTAAAGATTTATCACAAAAGAAAAAAAAATATTTGCATAAAATTAAAAGAAATATTTATGCATCATACTTATCTAACTTTCACTTTTTCCAAAATTTTTAGGAACAGTCTCCATGCCTTTTTTCGGAAAACTGATTTATTAAATTATGATGACTAGTTTTTCCAAAGTTTGTGCCCATCATTCATGGCCCATCGAAGTTCTTAGGTTATCTAAAAACGCAAATGCTTTTTAAACTTTTGTCTAAAAACGCAAATGCTTTTTAAGTTGTTATTATTTGTTCCGTTCGATATCCGGAATCCATCTTGAGTCAAGCATCATCCTTTTTGTGACGTTTCCGGTCCAAAACACTACCTCCCTTCTTACTTCCGGCGCCTGTGCTGCCATCTAGTTTGCGGGTAGCGAACCAATGACTTTTAGGCACGAACGCTTACCGTCATTATAGCGTCGTTTTTCGTGGCGAAAACATCGGTCCTACATAAAATGTGCACAAATTATACTTATTATTATATAGTTTAGTGTTAAAATTAAAATGAAATGAATATAAAATTAACCTCCCTTCGCGATGGAGCAACGGGACAGCGAAATAAACAAAGAAAACAGCATTGAAGCAGGCGTGTTTATTGTCTTCGAGCTCATCGAACAGTGTCGTCGGATTCCAGCTCGGAGAGAGCAAGTAAGGTACAGAGGCGAGAAAAACTGTAAGTGATTTGCATTCGATTTGTTACCCCAACCAGTGACATTTTTTGATAATGCATGATAAAACTGGAAAACTAAATCCACCTGTGCATTTTTCCATAACAAAATAGCACATAGTATCCATACCAGGACCGCAATTATGGCAACCACAGCCACCATCACGTTCCCTACGACCCCACGGTCCTGAACAGTTCCTACTTGCAGCGGTTACGACTGGTGATAATTTTCTTTATGTACCTACTATAGTAAAACAATCAACACAAGTTCAAATAGGATTTTTTTTTCTTAATAACGTTAAAGACCCAGTCTATGGTGAAACCAAATTAGATGAAACATGCTCAAATTAAATTATAAGTTGAGGCGATTTGTTTCTGCTACAACAATTGATGATTTAAGATAAGATCTTTATTTGCGAGAATAGAAGTCATTATAGTTATATTTTATAGAAATGGTACAATCTACAGCATTAACAAATACCTTAACAGAATTAAAGTATGAATCAATTAGTTTAGAACTAGTTTACAACAAATTGTAGATTGATCTATTGCTAAAGACCTTAATGCTAAAGAGCTTTTTGATAAAATCTAATCAACATTCAACAAGGATTATATTTTCCAAATATTAAGTGGCAGACGCACTGATGTGTTCAGAGCCGTGGAGAAGTTTTCTGAGGTGCCTTTACAGAAATTTTTGCCAAATTCAGAGTTCAAAGTCAAAGTCAAAATAATATTTATTCAAATAGACTTCTCTTTTGAATCGTCCAACATTTTTCCCCACCACTCGTTCAGGACGTCTTTTGGCTGATAGGAAGAACGAACAAGTTCTTCTTTGATAATAGTATATTGCACCCAAAAAACAAGGGGGTGCATAAAATGGTTGCAACTGCAAGTTGATTCAAGGTAGATTACCAGAAGTACACACCAATATTTAAATGGTAATGAGACTAGTTCATTAAACTTTAGAAATAAATACAATGCATGACATGACACATTGGAGGGGGCTATCTAATGCGATCTGTAAGTTTATGGAACAATCAGGATGTTCCAGATTGCATATGTCGAATCTTGGGCGAGTGGCTCACCAGTTCCAAGGTGTCACCATTTCTGAGCTCCCGCATTCCACTCTCGGTCATGTTAATGCAGATAATGAGCTTTTCTATATTGTCTCTGGTCTGGGTGTTGTTACCTTCGTTGTTTCAGATTTCCATAATACAAGTGTTTAACTATATCATTTGGTATCTAAACTATGTAGGTATGTGATGGTATAAAAATTATATTTTTATGCGTGGGATTTTAAGCCATCTTCAAATATCGTTTGCAATGCTCAAATTAATATACTGGAGATTACAAAAAACACCCTGTTTTGTATCATTTCCTCTTCTAATGTTAAAGCCCGACAATTTCATTTAAAACGACACTGATTTGTCAAAATAAAACCTTTTCGACTGATCAATAATTTTCGTATTCCGAACATTCTCATACAAAACGAATGGTTTACGAAAATATATCCGAGCCAAAAGTATTTTCATTTGAGTATCGCCGAACAACATCTGGTTCACAGGTTCTTGAGACTGGCATACAACAACCTACCTAATGCAACTGACGTGTCTCTTTGGACTGCCATCGGTACTCAAAAACTTTGCTGCCTAGACCAACACAACAACTGCGCTACCACAATAGCAACGCTTAGGGTGGTCTCTCAACTTCGAGCAGTGTGTGCTGGTTCTGAGCTTCCTCGGCGTTGCCTGGTGCATCGTGACCAACACGGTCACGAGGTGCCGGGAAGTGCCGGGGAAGTCAGGGGTAAGTCCCTGTCGGAACCGAAGTGCCTTACGCTACGCATGGCACTTCAGCACGAGGCGACTACACGTGGCGGTTAGTCCCTCAGACAGGCCCAGTTCCTAATGGGGAGACTCGACTTTGCCTCGTTTGTGATTCGAAGAGGGTGATTACACTGTCGCACACAGCAATACTACCATCGACAGTTGCCCAAAGATCACCATTACCACCGAATCAAACTACCAGACTCAGTACAGAACATTCAGCGAAGTCACTGTTTGAATCGAACGCTTCACGCTACGCATGGCATTTCAGCATCAGATTGTACAAGGCGGTTAGTCCCTCAGACAGGCCCAGTTCCTAATGAGGAGACTCGACTTTGCCTCGTTTGTGATTCGAAGAGGGTGACTACACTATCGCACACTGCAATACTACCATCGACAGTTGCCCAAAGATCACCATTACCACCGAATCAAACTACCAGAATCAGTACTGAACATTTAGTGAAGTCCCTGTTTGAACCGAACGCTTCACGCTACGCATGGCACTTCAGCATCAGATTGTACAAAGCGGTTAGTCCCTCAGACAGGCCCAGTTCCTAATGGTGAGACTCGACTTTGCCTCGTTTGTGATTCGAACAGGGTGATAACACTGTCGCACACTGCAATACTAACATCGACAGCTTAAAACTATTACTACCTATTCGGATTACCAGACCCAGTACTGAATGACTTAAAATGGTAAGTAAATGTTGTATCATGATACCTTCTAATAAATGCAACGCAAATCGCTCAACATCCGAGGACAGGTGCATAGGAAATCTGTTCGAGTGCTCAACTCGAGGCAATTACTCACGCGAGTCTTCATTTCGCGGAATGCCTAGATGTAAATGCTAAGAGAACTGTACCGATTCCCGTACATAAACAAAGATGGGGAACCAAATCTAGGAAATTATTGTAATTATGACACGAACAAGGCAGATTCAGAAATTATGCATAGCCTGAATACTAAATTTAGCAGCCCAATGTACACCAGATGTGAACTTATTCCATCGACAAAAGCACACGTCATTCCCAGGTTCATGACAATGGATGTGACGGATGAGCAAGCTAATAGGTCATAACGCATGACGTCATCAGTGCAAATGCAAACTGGCCTTATTCAAACATGATTCCGCAAATACGTTCTCGACTCCAGTAAGCGTCAAGGCAAGTAAGTACATTATGATTGTTCCAAAATGGGACAAAGTGTCTTGGCTGACGATTTGTTTCCGCAAATACTGCAATAGGTATGGCAACAGGTGTTCATCCCCCGAAATTCAGAAAATTTATTTAAAAGTCGGACAGAATAAAATAAAATAAATAAAATCTTGAAACTATCTATTTAATGTAAAGCGACTATAAATATCTACTAGTATTAATTCTGCAAATAACAAGTGCCCGGTAGGGAAATTCTGCTAATGTCGGCGTAATGGTGGAGGGTCAATAGCTCGACTACAACCCTTTATGACACATTCTTGTTACTAGATCATAAAATAATAAATATATCTGTCCTCTTCCTTCCGGACCTCGAGTACGAGTAGACGCTTGTAAACCCACGTTTGTTTAGTTTTTAATTTAAAAAAATTGAATTTTAAAATAATAAAATCAGTGCCATAAATTAGGAACGCATAAGTCCGCAAGAGTGTTCAATCTACAGTGACACATATTTGCATCAACGACTACGACATTGTTTATGTGAGACTACCGCGTGCAGGTGCGTAACATTAAAAACTCCATCTGTCTCACTCAACCGCACGCAAAACACTCGCCGCTGCAACACGCCGCCGCCGCCCGCGCCGCCCGCCTGCGCCCCGCTGCCGTTTGGCCAAACTACCACAAACTTATGCGATCCTGGTACGCTCACCAAACTACCTATTTTAACTAATATCGGACCCGACCGGGCGTTGTTAAATTGTGGTTAGTTTGATGAAGAAACACCTTAACGTTTAACTGTGGCTCATATAACCCTAGTACTTGTAATAGTGAACCATGACTAATTCTGGTACACAAGCGAATTACAAAGATATTACAAAGCGTATGATTTGAATTTTCGCGCCACTGAGTAATTGTCACACCATAATTCTGTCACACTATGTTTATGTGATCCTGGTACAGTTATCTCACCGACAGGAACAAATACTTACTACTTGCCCCATAGAAAACAAGGAATACTGGTTGGTTTAACCTAATGTATGGATGGTTTGAAGTTCGCGCCATTATTCGATTGCAGCGACAATCTTACGAGATCCTGGTACAATCACACACTGAAGATTTATTTGTTGGTCTCTGTACCTCTGACATTAGCTAAGTTTAAGCTATCTATTTCGTCCCATGTTCTCCTGGTATCTTAAGACAGATAAATAATCTATAGCAGTCTTAAGTTGATTGAGACACATATATTTGGCGCCGCTCCGGTACGGCCAAATTATATTACTACAACTTTTATGAAGTCCCGGTAACTGCAATCTACAACAACAAGCTAATACGCAATACAGCGCGTGGCGCGGTAAACTGCTTCTACTAACTTCTATTATCTTGTTATTTAAGCACATATTACTGCAATTAATTTACTTCACCTGTTAAACAAAATCTAGCAATCTTGCGACCGAAATACCTCCTACTTCAGTGTGGGCTCCTAGTAGTACAAACAAATATGAATAAATCCTTGTCCGAGTCAAACTTGAACGACCAGATTACGGCAGGCGAACAAAATATCACCCCCCCGAACTTTGTTTTTACACGTGCTGCTAAAAAGAGGAAAGAACAGGACAGTCCTACTAATCTGATGGAGCTTCCATACAGCGCTACAGAAAATGATTTCCACGCGTTTGTTAATGAAATGAGAGGTATGTTTAACAACTTACTTGCTGCCCAGCGACAGGAATTTGACAACATAAATCCTACATTAAAGAGTATTCAAGAAACCAACGCAAAAATCGAGGCATCTATTGAATACCTACACATAGAGAACACAGAACTAAAAAAGAAAATTAAGAACTTAGAACAGCAGAAAAAAGAAGATGCGAAATACATTGTCTCACTTGAAGAGAAGTTAGAAAATGTACAGAAAGGATACAGGAAGGCTAATTTTGAAATTAAAAATGTTCCAAAAGTAGAAAAAGAGACAAAAGAAGACTTGATAAAATTGACTACTTGTCTATCCAATACCGTTGGTGTAAACATAACTAAATCTGACATTAAAGATATATACAGAGTTCGCGGAAGAAAAGAGAATATCTCAAATGCACCTATTGTTGTAGAAATGGCTTCAACTCTACTCAAGATGGATATTTTAAAGAACTGTAAGGCCTATAACAAAAGGAACACGACAAAGCTTTGTGCGAAACATCTAGGATGTGCTGTAAATAAAGAGACCCCCATCTACGTCTCCGAACAGCTTACACCCAAGGCCTCACGGTTATATTTCCTTGCGCGAGATTTAGTTAAATCAACATCTTTTACCTTTTGTTGGACTGCCTACGGAAATGTATATGTCAGAAAGGATGAAAATTCTTCAATAATAGCAATCATTAATGAAACTCAAATCCAAAAGCTTTATAACTCTGACTGACTAGTTAAGCAATCAGCGTATATATTAAGTTTCCTTATTTTTTCTTGTAATAGTTTAAGTAATTTCTTAAAGATTTTATTGATATCTTGGATATACATCCTTGGTAACACTGTACACAGTCATTGTAAAATGACACACATTATGAATACGCACAGCTTGCGTGCAATTATACCTATAACCAATTGTACACACGTCCAACCACGCAAACACATTATATACACATACATTACATCTAATTCTAAGTATATATTGTTATCAGCTCTATATAAAATAGATATTTACTTAAAAAATGCCCAATACCAGTCCACTTGCACATACGTCCAATCACTCAAATACACCATACATACAAACAAAACATACTCTAAATACATATTGCTACTTGCTCTATATAAAAAAGTTATTAGACCGTACTATGAATACAAACAATTGCCCATTAATCCATATAACATCTATGTAACAAATCGAATCTCAGTACAAAACTTTATTAAATAATGGCTGACAATTTTAGAAACTTAACTGAACTAGATAATATAGCAATCGCAAGGTCTCTAACATGTGATATACAGGATTTGAAGAATCACATAAATTTCAATGTTAATAACCTCACAGTAATCCAACAAAACATAAGAAGTATCTACTGCAATTTTGATAACTTTGAGGCAACTCTATCTGATTTTAGTTCGGAAGTTGACGTAATGGTACTTACTGAGTGTCGTCTTAATGTAAATAAACCGCTCCCGTCGGTCAATGACTACACTCATTATGCTACTATGTTTAATTGCAACCAAAATGATGGTGTAGTTGTCTATGCTAAAACTAATTTGAATCCAATTTTTAAGGAACACTCTTTGAATAACGCATCTTGCATTCAGTTAAATATATGTGGGTGCACATTATTAGGCATATACCGTTCACCCTCGCAGCAGAATGCATCTAATTTTATAACTTCACTAAACACCTTATTAGACACGATTAAAAGCGATAAAAACGTCATAATTTCTGGTGACATAAATATTAATCTCAACATAAAGGATAATGAATCGAGCTATGACCGTAACAATAGGGCCTTTTATCTTAACATGTTATCCTCTCATGGCCTTTTACCTGGGCACATAATACCTACACGCGAAAATAGTTGCTTAGACCATTTCATTTTAAAGATGGATAAAACTAAGCGGTCTGCTACTATTGCAGTCTTAAACAGTAATGTAACCGATCATGCTATGGTCTTTATGAGTATCACCGAAGTGAAAAATAGCTTTTGCTCTCCAAAAATTCAAACCGTAACTGACTTGGAAAAAGCTGCAGAAAAGCTCATAAACAAAAACTTAGATTGTTTGTTATCTAGTGACGACCCTAACTTTGTTATCGAACATCTGACAAACAAACTTAAATCATCTCTGGATGAAAGCATCAAGATAAAAAGGATCTCAAGTAAAGAACGTACTATTAAGCCTTGGGTCACCAATGGCTTGTTACGGTGTATTAGAAACAGAGACCGAATGCAACTAAAAGTAAGATCTGAACCACATAATGAAATATTAAAAATTTCTTTCACTAGGTATCGTAACTACTGTAATAAATTAATTAAGAAACTAAAACGTAAATACCAATTTGAACTGCTACAAACTAATGTTAAAAACAATAAAGCACTGTGGAAATCTATTAAAGAAATAACATATCTTAATAAAAATAAAGCAAGTAGTTGGGAATTACTTGCTGCTCAAGGTACCCCCTCGGAGTCAGTAAATTATGTCAATAATTACTTTGCTAATGTTGGCAAACATCTTGCAGAGAGCATCCTCAGAGGATCGCCCCAGTCACATGATCACATAACATCTGCTCCAAAAACACAATTATCTTCTTTTGTCCTTCTAGAGACAGACCCCGTAGAAATTGATAGTATTATCTCGAGTTTGAAGACTAGTAGCGCTCCCGGCTGGGACGGCATCACGACTAAATTTATAAAAATGGTGAAGTGTCTTGTTGTCCCCATTATATGCCACCTTGCCAATCTTTGTTTCATAAAAGGTATATTTCCAACTTTACTCAAAAAATCTATCATTACACCTGTTTACAAGGGAGGTGATAAAATGAATGTTAGTAATTATAGGCCCATTTCCGTATTGTCAGTGGTTTCTAAGATTATTGAGAGACTAATTAACTCACGCTTAACTAATTACCTCGAAAAATTTAACATCTTATCTAAATCACAATTTGGATTCAGAAAATCTAAATCTACAGAGGACGCTATTTTAGGATTAACATCCATCATAACACAGCATTTAGATCGTGGTGAAAAGTGTCTTGCAGTGTTCTTAGATCTCAAAAAAGCTTTTGACACAGTTTCTGTTCCTACCCTTGTAAAAAAGATGGAAAATGTTGGTATTAGGGGTACTGCTTTAAAACTTCTGACTGATTACCTAAGAGACCGCTCCCAATGCGTTAGAATGGATAAATATACTAGCATTGATACTAAAACTGAGTTCGGCGTACCACAGGGCAGCGTTCTTGGCCCGACGCTGTTTCTGATATACCTGAATGAATTAACGAATCTCAAAGTTAACAGTGGCTGCGTGTTTTCTTATGCAGACGATACAGCCATTGTATTTCATGGTAATTCCTGGAACTCTGCATTTAATGTTGCCGAACACGGATTACATAGGGTCGCAAGCTGGCTTAATTCCTCTCTGCTAACCTTAAATATCGCAAAAACAAATTTTATGACATTTGCTATCAATAAGCGCACACTTCCTCCATCAAATTTATCATTGAAATTACACATCTGTGACTTCACTAATGTTAAACAATGTGGATGTGAAAATATTGAAAATGTAAAATCCACCAAATATCTTGGTGTAATAGTAGATCACCGACTATCCTGGCACGCTCAGATTGAGGCTGTAAATGATAAGATACGTAAACTTATTTGGATCTTTAAAAAGCTGAGACACGTGACCTCTAAAGAACTCATAAAGAGTATATATATAGCATTGGCTCAATCTGTTATGAGCTATTGTATCTCGATCTGGGGTGGTGCCTCCAAGATAAAATTCCTGGAAGCAGAAAGAGCCCAGAGATGCTTGCTAAAGACGATGTTTTTCAAACCATTTGGATTTTCTACTGACGAATTGTATCTGAATCATAAATTACTGACACTAAGAAAACTGTACATCATTAACTGTGTTCTTAAATTACATAAAAACCTACCTTATGTACAGATATTTGAGACCAGTAGGAGGAAACGCAGGGTGGCCCCTATGTATCCTTGTAGAACTCTTTTTGCTAGACGACAATTTCAGTCTCACTCCGCCTATCTTTATAATAAGCTACATGAAAAATTTGCAATATATCACCTCAAATTGAATGACTGTAAAAAGGTTCTAAACTTGCGCCTTGAGAAGCTTGGGTACCTGGATACAGAAAATTTGCTGTTTAAAAACAATAATTAATTAATTAAAATACATGACTTCCAGTGGTATTCATTACTTACTGATCCCAAGATCTCGCATCGTAGGGCTGGATAGCATAAAACATATGTATCGCATATATACGCATTTACAGCAAAAACGTACAAAAATTTGAAAAAGCTCCGGACGTTTGTAATAGCACACATACACACACACGCATACGCGCGCGCTCACACACACACACACACACACACACACACACACACACACACACACACACACACACACATACACTTACAGATCTAGTGGTTATCCGATCCCAAGATATATGATATCGTAGGGCTAGATTGGTATAGATTGAGAGATTTTTTAGACACTGCATTGTTTTATATAACTTCTCACTTTTAGTATTTTCTAATATACCTTTATAAAATAGTTTAATAGTCTAGCAACCTAAGCAAACCTTATTTTGTTATTAAGTTCCTAAGGAGGAGCAGAACCACCCGACACAAGCGCTTTTTAGGCACTTCCTGGGTGATTCTGGCCACATTACTGTTATATGTATGCAATTTAAGGAAATAAACTATTTATTTATTTATTTATTTATTTATCTGTCAATATTGAATTGTTAGGAAGACATTGCACTAATAATATTAGACTTCAGGTATATAGTACAATGGAAATTTTACGTAGATTGGCAGAATTGAATCTATTTAAGTTGCTGGAAATTTAGCATAATTTCACAATCTTCAAGGTCGCAGAATCCATTATTTAACCCTTTAAACCTTTGAAGTACAGGGACGAAAATGATTTTTTGTCTTATGGCCCCATTTTGTATTAAAAACAGATAATAGTAATTATGACAGCCTGGATAGAAATGATTAACTGACACAAATCATTCGATTGCATGTATTGGACACGCGATCAATTTTTGTATTGAAAGAGCCCCAAAAAGAAGTAATTTTCACGAGTTAACTACTCTGTTCTCAAAAATGCTAAATAGAAGCACATAATGTAGAAGATTCTTCAGGGTCTATTACATCTGAAGTTCCATCTCTAAATTGACTGGAACTGTTTCCGATGGATAAATTACTGAAACTGTGAACTGGCGCCAAGAACATACTTTTGAGAAGTCCAATCGAAAACTGAGAAATCGGACAACCAAGAAAATTCCGATATCTATGTATTTACATTTTTATTATTCTTAATTAATGATATTGACCGATAACAGATAAGCCAATATTTATTTAGCTTAGATTACCGAAATACTTGAATAATTATTATAATTGCATTGTTATGTAACAGCATAATATATGTACTATGTGTGTAATAGCATAATATACTTATAATATGCATTATTTTTTCTCATCAGACTACATTTGACTTTTTATACCTGCAACACCTTATAGCGTCACCAATGGCACTCACCAGGAGATAACAAACACATCACTCAAGATGGATTCCGGATATCGAACGGAACAAATAATAGAGAGTTTTAACTACCAATAAAACTTACCTATTATTTTTCCTAAAGATATCCGGAATCCAGGTAAGTTCTACCTGGTGCATCTAGAGTAGGTATAATGACGGTAAGCGTTCGTGCCTAAAAGTCATTGGTTCGCTACCCGCAAACTAGATGGCAGCACAGGCGCCGGAAGTAAGAGGGGAGGTAGTGTTTTGGACCGGAAACGTCACAAAAAGGATGATGCTTGACTCAAGATGGGTTCCGGATATCTTTAGGAAAAATAATAGGTAAGTTTTATTGGTAGTTAAAACTCTCTATTAATTTTTGTTTACGCACCCTCACGCACGTATAATTGATACGGCGGTAGCTACGCCCCTGCTGCGAAGTGTGCTTAGAGCAATAATTTACTTGTAATATTTGTACTACGAGCCTTTTCAAGTTGGGGTAAAAATAGTTTTTAACCTTTTTATTACACCCTCTGAGGCCTTTGAGGATTATGCCTCTGAGGATTACAGCCCCTTGGTAGGTACATAGGGGTGTAGTAAAAAGGTTAGGAAACACAATGCTGTAGAGCAGGGGTTGGCAACCTTATGAGACCGTAGAGTTAAAAGTTACAATTAATAAAATTGCACAGTTTTTAAAAGATTTCGTTTCTATATTATAAATATTGTATTCATGATTTTATTTGAAACAAATTGTTTTATTTTTATATAGATTGAAATAAGGGTTCGAGAGTAAAATATTTTCTTAGTAATGGAATTCGAGAGCTGCAATATTAAATCAACAGACCCGCATAGTGACCCTTGGTAGAGATGGACTGACCCTTCGTGTACGGACCGATAAACGCTGATAGAGCGGCGGCAGCTTGGTGCGCGCAGTTGGGCGGCAGCGGGGCGTGCGCGTGCGCGTTCCACAGTGCGCGCGCCAGCAGCGCCGCGGAGGGAGCGTCGGCCGCGCGCGCCGCCGCCGCCAGCGCGCGCGCCGCCAGCCCCGCCGCCGACACACACTGCGGCCCCGCGCCGCACACGTTCACCAGTACACCGGCCGCCGCGCACCTGACGCTCTCCTCATCTGTTCAGTACAAAACAATCTTACAATACTGGAACAAACAAGACCAATTTGTATGCAGCGCACAATATCTAATATTGTGTACGTGAATATGGTGAATCATATTCACGTTTAATATGGTGTATGGTTTATTGAATATGGTGAATCATATTCACGTTTCCTTCGCTTTTTTTAGGGTTACCCAAAGAGTAAAACGTGACCCTATCACTTAGAATCCGCTCTCCGTCCATCTGTCGAATTGTAATTGTTGTAGTGAATCCTTCTCTTAAAATACTTGCCATGTTCCAAGAAGGGTACAAGCGCTTCGAGAGCTCCCTCGAGCACTATGAACTGTGCAGAGCGCGCGCCCCGCGACAGGTTGCCGAGCGCCCTCACCGCCTCGCACGCAGCCGGCCCAGATCCCTGCAGCTGACGGCATGTCGCTGCACACATAATTAAGAAATTTGTTTATTTATTAAGACTGCGAAGGCAAAGAGTGAACGAGACAAAATCATAACATACCATCAATGAGGTACAGACATATATTAGGTACAGTATTTTTAGATTAGTTAAGAATTTAAGCCTTTTTATCTCTTTAAGGTTAATGTGTTTGCATGTAAACCAGAACCACGATGAATAATGGTAGTTTAAATAGTGGTTAAACTCGGACTGAAATAAAACTAGTCTTTCGTCCGGGTGGTACCTTTTATTTCTGACATGACAAACATTGAAGGTATATATTATATGTTCATTTCCAACACATTTAGAGATGTAATTATCAATTAAGTATGTATACTATTGATCTTTTATAGCCCGTATACCATCATAGTATATAACAAAATATTTTACTAGTAGTAGAGACCTAAATTATATTTGTACAAGTTAAAAGCGGAGAGTAATAATTTTTTGTCTAAATTAAAACAGAATTAGACGTCACTGCATTTAATTACCTTTACACAACTGGTCAAGAAGTTGATGCAAGGGGTCAGGAGGATCAGGAGGTTCGCGATAAAACGTTATATTGTTGAGAGTCGCCAATGCAGCAGTTGCTAGTTCTTCACGCCGCTCCAGGGAACTTGATTGATTATCAGATACGTCTGTAACTTGCATCTAGTTAACAAAGGAAAATTATTTACAATGTTTGCATTTAAGTTGAAGTTGCCAAATGTATGGGAGTCAAGATGCTTTTATTATGTTTCTTATATTTGCAAAAAGCAATTGTGTCAAAAGACTAACTAAGAGTTCAAATAACACGCTATTTTATTTTATTTATTTATTTATTTTTGTCCAGGTATTTTCATATTGCTAGTATATTTTCCATCCATCTTACTGTTTCCTCTGTGGCAAGGTGAAGGCAGGCGAGCAGTGAGTGTACAGCGCGTTCCACGTGCTCACGAGCCAATCCACGGCCGGCGCGCTCGCATAAACACAAGTTGGCTACTACCCGCACCGTCTATAAAACCAGGAAAGAGAAAATTTGGATATCACTATATCTGTCTAGTACCAGATTAGTCCATGAGCAATTGCTAACACACAACAGCACAAAAAATTGCTGAGCATAATGTAAGGGCAGTTGGAAATTCTGCGAGTTTTTTACTCCACGTATCATTTTTGATCTATACATATCTTTACGTACCTAATGATGTTATATATTAGATAAAATATCTATATTTTTAAACATTGATACTATTTTACTTGTGGATAGGAGTAGGGGCAACAGGTATGGATTGCCTGCGGGATGAAACAGAAACAGTTATTAAAAATATTTAAGTAAGCACCAAAGAGTGTTTGTTAAATTAAAACGATAAGATGACTGATGGATGTGCATCATAATTTGTGAGCCATGATATTAATGCCTTATTAGTTGATAAAATATGCTTAGTATATTAAGTAAATATGAATACCACGTCCTTCTCGAGTCCCACCAGTCACGCCACCGCCCACAAAAAGCAGGAAAACTGGCTTTTATGTAGGCATATATTTTATGACACATATGACATCAAGTAGAAGTCTAATCATTTCAAATTTTAGAATCAGTAAAGAATTGTAATGAAAAGAAATAACATTATATAAATATTACGATTACACTAAATTCACTGAAGTCCATTCTTACAAATAATCCAGTTGACTCTCACCTTTATCAAGACGTCCTCATTAGAGCCATCAGAACCACCCAAATCAGTGCCTGATAAAATTAAAATACAATATTAAAAAACGACGCTAATTTAAAATGCAGTTAATCTTGTTTTTAACATTGATGTTTCTTACCGATTAAATGTAAATCAGGATCAGTGTCTATATTGACTTCGTCATTTCTCTTCGTGTACAGTTCCAGGATCGTCAATAGGACGTCTACTCCGCCCTCTTCATTGTATATCTGAGAAGATCAAGGTTAAGTTATACTTTTTCATACTTATTTCGATAAGGGTATATATTTATCTAACGCTGCAGTTTATTTAATTGTACAATTAAGAAACTTAGCGCTGTACCAATTTTAGATGGTTATTGCTCTAGATCCCATCAGCAGGTCAATAGGGATGATGACTGGGTAAAAAAATGCAATTCTATTTAGTCCGTCAGTCAGATAATAGAAAAATATTATATAGGTATCTTTTTTTTACTTCAAATTAACAAGAAATAGCTTAGATAACAGGCATTAAAGTTGAGGAGTGGGGGCTCGCTACGTCACAGTTGCGTAGAAAACGTACTCTAACGTGACGTCATGCGAAATTTCAACTCAATGTAACGCCGTAATTTTATAATTACGAAAAAAATACGTGTTTAATATTTTTTAACACTCTACCTGACGGACAAACGAACAAAAATTAGTCATCATCCCTATTCTGCTAATGTTGACTTGCATTTTTCCATTGTATACTATTTATCTGAAGTCCAGTATTATTATATATCTGTCACCATTAATGTGCGAGGAAGATATTGCACTAAGATGCGATTATTACATTACGTAATCATTAGTAGAATTGATCTGCAGTTCGTGGAAATATAACCTATTGCGTGATAACTTTTCAAAGAATAAAATGGAAAAGTGTTTGGTCACTTGACTCATAATTCATATCTGTTAAACGTCATAGTGGTGGATATCAAAGATAAATTATCTATTAATACCTACCTAATTGTAAGTAAATGCAAATTTATAAACGAAATATTGCTAGTCCAGCATTGCTATCATTTGTATCTAGTTAATCTGATTCCATTGCGTTGATAGTTTTTATTATCGCTCTGCTATTGAAGTAGACGTTTATATTTTAAACAATAGATAGCATTTGTCAGTTAATGAATAGCCTGATGTCGGTAGGGCTGCTCAAATAAAAAAAAAATACTTTTGAAGCACTAAACCTATCATAATTTTGTGATCACTAATAATTGTTGATCATTGATATCTAAGCAATGCCAAGCCCAACACGCGATCCATCATTAATATTAATTATATCTTCGTCTATCTTTAAGATACCAACACGCATCAATCAATCAATATACAAACAACTAAAAATCTTAAATCTTAATTAATTTATTATCTCTTTGATTGACATACGACTCTTATCTTTTTCTTTTTCTACTCACATTAATCCTCGCTTGCTCATCTGCCGCCGCCATATTGCCTAATGTGTACGCAAGTCGTACCGCCAACGGTGCTCTCGGCGCGCACGCAGCTAATGCACGCAATAATGCGTGCGCGCTCACTGATGACGCGCATAACCATGCACAACATGTCTCCTCAGCCGATAGAACACTATATAACAATTCGATTTCTTTCGTTAATAAAACATTAATAAATATCCTGATTATCGAGTTGTATAACTACTTAAGTACCTATACATATGTAACACGAACATGTTCATATAATAAATAATTTGAGTTAAATATTTATAAGAGTAGATTATATATTTACCTGAGACATCTTGCTACATTAGTAAGCACATCCCTGTCAGTATGATGTAACAATGCAGCAACCAGTTCACTCAGAGCTCCGCTGACGACAAATGTTTGGGCCTCTTTCTCTTCCCCAGCTAGGTTCCGAAGGGCCCCAGTTAATTGGTACAACGCGTGTGTAGATTGATCAGACACGGTGCGAGGGTTTTCTGCCTTCTGCATGATTAATTTTTTTTATATATTGATATAGAATTTGCTAAATAATACCCTAATGTCCTAATATGTTCTTTCTGGAATTATTATTAGTATTGAATAAATAAGTGTTGGTGCAATTTGATCGTGACTCATTTCACGTAATATCATAAAAAAGATCTGATCTGGCTCGTTATAGGAATCTAATGTTTGAAAATGATCAGGGAACGTGCAATGAGATCGGTTAGAATGGTATTTGCATCGTATTTCACAGTTAGTGAAAGCCTTGTTCATTAAAATCTAAAAAAAAAGACTTACAGCATTGTTAAGTATCTTAAGATGCAATGCCGCAAGGTGTAGGGCTCCTGCTTTGTGCGCTAGGACGCAAAGGCTGGGTTCCAGAGCGAGGAACCTGAGTGCCCCCGCCCCGTATACGCAACACTCGCCCTCCTCTAGAGGGTCAGCACGTCCACACCCTTCCACCAACAAATCTAAAACAGTATTTTCAGTCAAAGTCGTTTAATGTATAATACTTTCTACCTATAGGGTTATTTTTCCACGCCTGTTTTCTGTGTAAAGAAACTAAGGTACACGAATTTCGTCAATTATCAGAATTGCTTAGTCAAGCGTCAAGTCTTAATTAAACTCTAGTCATAACACAATAAAAGGTAATTTGAAGTAGTAAAACACATATCGTTAATATGGACATACCAAGCAAATTGGTGTTCTTAAAAAAGTGATCGTTTTTATCATTCCTTGCTATTTTGAACACTAGTTTACAAGCCGCTGCCAAATGTGATCCAGTTACTCTCATCTAAAAATTTAAAAAAATATATACTTATTTCAAAAACATTAAACTAAATACATATATCGGTTAGGTACATAAATCATACATAATCTATTTTTAAATTAAAAGTTTAGATTAAATTTAGTTTTAAGAGAACTTGCAAACAAAATTGTTGTATGGTAACAAGCGTTTCATATCATATACCACAAAGGCAAAATATAATCATGACATCTCACCGTAAGCATTGCTCGAGCTATCGCTACAAGAACTCGCTCATCGTCACAGTCGATATGCGTATACAGCGACCTTAACACCAGCTCTCTGAGGCTGCTGGCAGGAGAAGATTTCTCCAGAAGTTTCTGCAAAGCTTCTAGAAGCGTCACGGTCCGTTCTACAGGTTGATTTCGCTCTGATAATACTTCTGATATTTCGAGGATGCTTGTGCTACAGAGTAAAGGAAATATCGTTTAGATAAATATCGTCCTTTAAAAATCGAATATCTGCAACTTTGCAATAAAATAAAATACATCGTTCAAGGTCAAATATTACAGGAAGATATGTGACCACAATTCTTTGAAATATGATTAGATTAAAACTACATTACCCATCAAAATCTCTACAGGTGTTAGGTAACTGGACAGCCAAATGTTTAACAGCCAGATCTTCTGAGACTTCGTTCTTGTATCCAGCGTCATATGACATCGATTTATTCATTACAAAATTTTTCTTCTTTATATTCGTATCAGAACCCATAGCTGTCAACAATGAGTATGTTTCTTCTCAATAATTATGTCTAGGTGTTATTATTTATATTTGCCTAGGTAATGTACCTAGGCACCACTTCACACCAGGCACTTCAAAACATTATACTTACATTTACTCGGACTGTTATCGAAGATGTGCTCACCAGATACAAAATTACCATCTGATTCACAGAGAGGACGAGTCACTGATATCGCCTGTGCAAGGTCGGAATCGATCTTCGAGTCTGAAATTTGATTATTATAAACGAAGGAAACAGAACGGTAACGGTAACTTTTCGTTTATATGATGTATCTAAAATTCATTTCATGGAATTAATTTCATTAATTGTTTGCAATGATTTACCATCGGTACTGTGTCCTGTGGTGTTCCGTCGGTGCAACGGTTTGCTGCGGCCACTCAAATGGGGTAACTTGGTAAAACCGCTCCAGCCATCACCAGAGCGATCTTGAATCAGCTTTGGTTGGGAATTTCTGGACTGGTAAATAAAAATAATTATACAAGAATTTTGTTCCTTTTTGTCCATAAAATTATTTAGCATTACTTTAAAATTTAGAATAGATATTAGAAAGTCGTTTTAATTTTAGAGGTCGTTTGTGCAATTAGGTATAAGACTGAATAATTATTTTTTCAAAAAATAGAACCGACTCCAAACTTTAAAAAAAATGAGATATAATACTTTAAGGCAACTTGTTCAAGAATATGCTACTTTTATATGTTTGTTCACGGATAACTTCGTCGTTTATGAACAAAAAACAGTTCTTTTTTTTATTAGAGAGCTTGTAGGCCCGTTGTAGTGCTATATAAATTTTATCGAAATCTCATTGGTAGTTTAGTTTTTATAACATAACGAAATATATTTTTCACCAAAAATCACCAAAATATTAAAATGAAATCAAAACGAAAGAGAATAAGTGTATTTTGCATTCTCATATATACTGTATGGAGGAATGTTTAACAAAAAAATCAACATCATTAAAAATCATGTAATTTTTTTTTTTCAAGAAATAGACCCGACTTCAAACTTTAAAAAGTGAGAAATAATCCTTATCTTAAAATCTCATTATTCAAGAAACTGTTAAAGAAGTCTGGCGGAGGTTTTCTGTAGATTATTAAATGATAACTTCAATAGCAGTTTGTTGAATGATGAAGTCGCTTATAACGTAAGTTTTATTTCTCACTTTTTAAAGTTTTTCTCTGCATATAAACTTGTCATCTACGTAATTAGGTGATATTCGATGAAAAGCATATTTTTTTTTTTTTTTTTTACAAAACGAAAACTACTGTATCGATTTAGATAAAATTAAATTGGGACCACATCGGACTATTAAGCTGTCCAATAAAAAAAAATTAAAATCGGTCAACAGTTTGCGGAAAAATCGGTGAACATACATAAAAAATACATCGCCGTCGAATACATCACCTGCTCCTTTTCGATTTTGATGCAGGTTAAAAATATTACCTTTACAACTGATAACGTTACGCTACATTTTTGACAATAAAATCATATATGAAAAAATTATCTCACGGATTTCTTTTTCGTGTTATTCTGTGAATCCATCTGCAGAATACTGTTGAGTTTGTCCTCGTCAAGACTGGACATGCGTGCCCCAAGCATTGCCGTTGTTATCTCTTCAGTACTCTCCGACAAGCTCAGGTGCTTCAAGCTAATACAAAAGTAGATATTCGGAATAAATTTATGAAAATAATTAAAAATAAAGATCTACAATATGCAATTATCATTTATGTTTAGAAAGATAATGGTAAGTGTCACATGTATCAATCAATGATATTGAAATTCAATCGTCTTTTAGGGTACTAAGTATTGCATATCATTTAATAAAAAGGATTTTAGAAATATTTCGGCTACTAAGTTATACACATTAAAGTAGATAACATTAACAAGGTCTAATAAAATTAATCCTCGAGAACACTGAAAAATTTTAAGAACAATGTAAAATTTTAAGTAAGGTTGGGTTTAAAATGATCCATGTTTTGTGAAATGTCGACGGTTAATAAATCAATTAAAATATAGGCATATATTCCTTCCAATAAAAATAAAATCATAGTAGTATAAACATGGTTTATGTTTAGCTAAAAACACGAAATCGCATACCTACATTGCGGTTCGCGTTTCCAGTCGGCTAATGCATATGGCTGTGTCAATTTGTTTGCGGTTTCAGACTTGCGTGCGTCTGAACATTAGGCACCAATTAACTCCTTCTTTATGTTACATTCAAAACTCAGTTTTTCAAAAACCAGTCAAATGTAGTATTGATTAAGCACCTTGGTTAAAACCAGTATTCATTGCTGAAGGTATTTATACTTACTCGAACGCGCTAGGCGGCCTAGTCAAATGTAGTATTGATTAAGCACCTTGGTTAAAACCAGTATTCATTGCTGATGGTATTTATACTTACTCGAACGCGCTAGGCGGCCTAGGGTCTGTTTTGCGTGCTCGCTCCGTGAACAAAGTGCGCTGCGGTTCACGGGGTGTGAACGGCCGACGCGTGCGCAACGGACGCAGCACACCTCCTGACCCGCTACCGCTCCCGCTCATTTCTGATGACAGTAAAATCATAACATAAAATAAAAGCATTGACTACAAAGTGACTATTACATTTTAAAAATAGGGAATATGTCTGGGTTAAAAAAGAATATATAAAAAACACCTAAGTATTTTGTTGCTTCAATTTCAAAAGAAAATGGCTCAGATAATACGTATTAAAGTTGAGATGTGAAGGCTTGCATTATGAGACATTTTAAGCCAATGTATAGTCGTAATTAATTGTTTATTTATTAAAAAATATATATTACAGTCAGTATCACTCGAAAAAGCTAGTTATGCAGTACTTACACTTGAAACACACTTATCCGCTACTTACAGTTGAATAATAATAATAATATTCTTTATTGCACACTATATGGGACATATAGGAAATAGAAGTGTCAAAATGCGGCCTTATTGCTACGTAGCAAATTCTTGCAGGCAATCCATGACGAAAGAAAAAGATAAAAATAAATAAAACTTAACTGTAATATTTTTTAATCGCCTCGAAATTGATGCCTATCTAAATCAGACTACATACATATTTCATAGATAAATAAAATGATAGTCAAAATTCAAAGAAGTCCTCAATTAGGCTTTTAGCCTCCATAGAGTTCACAACTACTTCAATACAATATCCTTATTTCCACGCCTGAAATTACTAGGTTATAAGAATACACATAATTATGGTATAAACAGCATAAGGTTAGGCTACCACAGAATCTCAGGTTTCCTAAATTCTATTTCTACTGTAATAAGATTTGAAATTGATTGGAAAAAGACAGTTTTGTACAAGCTTATGTGTTGTTGACTGTACGCTTGAGTGTTATGTTGCGGCGGCTCACCCTGGCAACCGTTTGACCCGGGGCACTCCGGTTCAGCCACCTAGAGAAAGCACGTTAACGAACTCTAATATACATCGCATGGCTGACCTATGAGAAGTTCAGATTTAGATGTTAGAAAATAGAAGAAGTAGGAAGAGCAATAACTTTTATATCGTAGATTTCCACCAGTTGTTTCGCCCGCGTTTATTAGTATTAGAAACAGTTTATTAGGATTAAAAAGTAACCTATGAGAATTCAGGCTAAGAATTATCCATAAGTATAACAAATTTCATCACAATAATTTCAGTAGTTTTTGCGTGAAAGAGTGAAACCATGCTAACAAATTTTTGCATTACAATATTTATAGGTTACCGACGTACAGTTAAGCAATAACTAGATAAAGAAACATTTAACATTGTTCTAATCAGTTGTTTTATTTATTAAAATACTAACTGCTTTGTTAAAAAGGCAATCTAGCTCTTCTAGTGTCGTGCTGCTTTGTATTGATGGTATGTAACCATTGTTTTATATTGTTGTCATATATATATATTTTCTACTACAAAAACTCTCGTTTTAATAAAAATATTCCTTAAAAATTGGGCTACTTGTTAAAAGTAAATAATATTCCGAAGTCTGTCTGAGGTAAGTAAGTTCAAACAAAGACTATGACGTATGACATATTTTCGCTATATAATATTAGTGAACTGAATACGAGAGCGAACGAAACCGAAACTGCTTACTGAAATGAATAGAGATTTATCTAACTAATATTATACCTAATAGTAAAGGCAAAAGGAACTTTTTAATAATTGGCATTCATATTTTAAATGTCGGCTAAATAACTGTCTTTATGTCTGGTTTCATTCTGGACTACAACCAGCGACCGATAAAAAATAGAGTTCCAGGACAAAATAGACTCTCGGCGTATTTCCATTCATGTTTAAAGTAGAAGTTAACTATTTGAACAACCTAAAAAAAAAATCTGATAAATTGTGTATAAAACAAATTATATCTTAGATTTATAATAATGAGTTTAGAACTAAAATGAAAGGATATGTATAAAATATTAACACCCTCTGTTCTAGAAATTTGCGGCGAACTATAAAATCAAGCTCTTGCGTGACAGAAAGTAGTTTAATTTTATTGAATGCTTATAGTGAATATGTTGCGGGCTGAATAGCGTCAATTGATGGTACACGAAGAGTTTTTTCGCTAAATATAGACGTTACATCAACTAACCACACCGTCCAAAAACAGTCAGCCTCGAAAACCTTAAACTGATTGCGTCATTAACGATATCGTGTAGCCTACTCAATTTCCTTTCTTTAAAAGTTAATACGTTTGGCTTCGGAACCCTGAGTGAGAAGGTATTGGTCGGTGGTAGGTTGGTGAGAAGGTATTGGTAAAAAAAATTGGTCAAGTGTTTGTAATATATAGATATTACAACACTTGAACAATTTTTTGTTTTATTAATTATGGAATTGATGAATATATGTAATTGACCTACCTATAAATAAATTTCAAATTCATGTAAAGAATATATTTATGAGTAAAGGCTATTATAAAGTTGATTATTATTTTAAGGATCGCAATGCATGGAATTGATAGCCTTCGCTTTGTTCTATAAAGACTAATTATATGTTCAACCTATGTCCTACAGACTTTGAAAGTTGTATTTATTATTGTGATAATACATATTATTTTGGTAATGACATGATTTATGTAAATGTCATTACTTATGATAAAAAGCTGGTAAGTTTCTTTCGCTTGTTCTTCTTGTCAGCTAAAAGACGTCCTGAACAAGTGGTAGGGGAAAAAAAAATTTTTTGGACGATTCAAAAGTGCTTGTAATAGCCTACTTGAATAAAGATATTTTCATTTTCATTTTCATAATAGATATAATATCGAAAGTTAATACTTTCTTTTGCGAGGTTTGGATTACATTTTCCGATGTCAGTAAATGAATAAAGATCTAGAAGTGTACAATCTGAATATCAAGTCAAGTAATATAATTCTGCTTTTAATAAACAAACGTGAGAATCACTAATGACATTCGTTAACTGTCAACGCATATAATTCCGGTCTCCATTTCATAGCTATTCACCTATTTATGTATTGTCTACGAGCGACTCGTACCTGTCGCAAACTACGTTACTATCATTTGGCGATAATAGAACCAGGAAATAACGTAAAGCATTCAGTAGAGTTTCGTCCAAGAAACGTGCTTAATTATTTTAGAAAATTGTACATAGACTTGCTGAATTATTTTAGAAGGATGTCTATTTTACAAACGGAAAAGATTTGATTGTTAACACCGAAAGACCCCGAAACTAATGGACCGATTAAAAAAACTATATCATACTGTCATATCATATCAAACGTTATTGTCCAGCGACTAAATGGTGCAATAGGCTACTAATGCTAATAGCATTATCTACCAGTCAAAATTTGGTAAATCAGAGAAACATGAGAGCGGCTTATAGTGAATTTACGCGGGCGAAGTCGTGGAAAAACAGCTAGTACTATGTAAAGTAGATTTCTTCATTAAGTTTAAAATAGCATATGGTCCGTACACATAAAACTGGCATTTAAGAAGCTTTTATTTAGTTTCACTTTGCCATCGAAGCTCGCAAGTAAAATTTAAACCGCTTCTCCGTTTTCAATTGAGCTTTTTTTCTAATATTAATATGAAATTAAACAGATTTGATAAAAGAGCTGGAAGGTAGATATGGGACCTCTGTCAAGTTTGAGTTCATACGATTTACGGACTTTGGCATGATATAATGGCATAATATCTGGAGTCATTTCTGCCTACTTTTTGCCAAACAAAAGTAAATATGAAAAAAAAAAATGCTTTATTGCAATAATAAATAACAAAAACTAAATGATTTTTATCCGTTATACTCTATAACATATTTAATATATTCATTATTATGAAACAACTTTTTTTCAATTTAAAGAATATTAGCTTATAAATAAATATTCCACAACACTTTGGAAAATAAAATATTTTAAATTGTCTAAGCCCTTATAAAATTTAAGCTAGTTTTATTCATCATTTAGATCTCTATAAAAGAGCGGCCATGGAGGCAATTTTATTGCACAAAACCTGTTTTTTTCAACTGTGTGAATAAGAATAATAACAGAACTTAACTTGCCAATTGCCATTATACTTCTTTGATTACTTAAATTATCAAACTTAAATTATATATTTTTAGTATAGAGAATAAGACAATAGATCTAAGCATAAATACTTAATCCGCTAATCAACATTCGTTTATTCAAAGGTAAAAAGATTCTACTGATGTTAAATAAAAAAAAAATAATAAATCTAAATAATTTTAAGCAGAGCAGGCTGTCTCCATAAGTAGCACCAACAAGTATATTTTGATTAAGTACCTCCGTATATGGCTGCTCGAGCTTCGCTGATGATCTCAGCGGAGGTTTTCCGTCGTAGGGGCGCGTAGAAAGGCGCCCCAGCACCGCGTCGAGCACCCCTGTCGCTCATAGCACCCCCTGTGGACAAAGGAGAAAATTATCTAAATCCATGTTTATTATATTTTATTTACACATATTTCCGCACCAACCATGCAAGTTTTCTTGTTCATAAACCATTGTTCATAAAAGTTGAAATTTTCACGGATAAAAACAGAATAAAGTAAATATTAGGGCACACAACAAACGTGTTTTTTGCTTTTTTCATATATACGAAACTTCAAATTATTATTAGAATATTTTTCATATATACCCTTCACGCGCGAATCTGACTCACACTTGGTCGGTATTTATTTACCGATTTCATAAAAGAAAAGAAGATTATTTTATTCTAAACGACTTTTATATATATTTTTTTTAGTTCTGTAGCTCAAAGGAACCAACACTCAGTTACAGTTACAAAATATTGTGTAAAAAATCAGATGAATGAGCAAGGAAGCAGCCAGCTTATTGTAAAAAGCGCAAATTATGTTTTCCATTATACGAGGGTCAAACTGAAAGTTCTTAGAACTGGCCACTTATAAACAATATAATAAAAAAATAATTCTAAAATTTGAAAATATAACTCTTTGCCAATATTACTGAGTATATATTTCATTCATTTGTCATTTGTTTTACGATTTGGCGGCAAATTGAAAATTGTCTGTGTCACGTCATCATGAATTTAACACGAGAAAATTTTCGTGCAATGAT